TATTTGTATACTCTGTTGTATGTATAGTTTATATATATATAAACTTTCAATATTCGTCGTGTTCACTAGGGTAACTTTATCAAATACTAACGGCAATTTTTTTTGCACACCACTGTATATATATATGTACATATTTAAAGAAAGAATATGTCAATCAGGGATAATAATGCATAATTTGATTATACTTATTGCTCTAGATGGTACACATAGATATGTGACCATTTTGATCTAAATAAAACGCGTAGGAAAATATTATTGAAAAGAACGTATGATAATTTAATAATAACTATATTGATGACTAGTAAAAGTAAAACATGAGTCAATTCCTGTGGGATTTCAATGCAAAAAAGAAAACGATGAAGTTATTGATAATCATGAATACTGTATTTTTTTATCGATTTTGAGACACATTTTGTCTATCTTCTTTCTATATGATAGCCTTTAGATATATCTATATATGGAAATAATCTGTATATTATAAGGATACTTTATTGATGTATGATCTTTGATCCTATATCGAAGATGTTTATCACGATTTGTTGAAAGACGCTTGAATCCACTTGTTTGAGCAATCTTTTAAGGTCATATTTTATGAAAGAACAAAATCCTTATATACGTATGTATTTGATTAGTCTTTCACGCAGATATAATACTTGAGAAAACATAAATTTCTTGAAATAAGATATACTTCGATTTCAAAATATGAAATCTATACATTTTTGTTTGGCTTATTCAATACAGATCAGTGAAGGATTATTGATTTTTAAATAAATCTAGTATATCTATTTGCACACGGAAAAAAGGATGCAAAACTTTTTTTCTCAATCATTTTCTAAAATATACCATAAAACCTCTCTTGATTATTATGTATTGGTTACTTCATTCATATTTGACGAAGCACAAAAAATTGATTTAGTTAATCAATTGAACAAAGTCATGACTTTCATTTGTTTTTCTTTCTTCGAATTTTCGTCTTAGCAACAATGGGATAATAGTGAATTGCATGTTGAAATAGGACTCATCAATTTGTTCATATTTTCTTATTGGAATAAAATAAAGCAATATCTGTCAAATATATCAAGGTCATTGACATGACAGAGAAATGTCCTATTCGCATATAGAATCATTGATTTTGATTTATCGATCATGACTTGTAAGAAATCACACTTAAACAGTGAAAATTTGAATCTAGTGCATGACATATTCTCTTTCTCTTGAATGATTGGCAGAACGTTCGAGATTTAATTGTACAGTTCGGTTCGTTTTTTCCTGTTTCTGTTACTTTTCATCAACAACTATCGATGTTGTATAATGTACCGGTTTTGAGTTACTTGTGATTTATTCTTTCATATATTACGGAAGGATTATAACGAAAAAGGGAGGAAAAGGATAGGAGCAGAAGATTGAGTCAAGAATGACTGATGAACAACAACAGTTGAACAAGGGTATCTGTACGTATGTGTACGCGAAAGAGAGAGAAAGAGAACAACGAAAGAAAGAGAATAATGATAACGAGAGGCACTGCTCCCAGCGATGAGTGTATAACAGATGAATCCATCACATATAATCCTACTGTTCTTAGCAATTGTCCAAAGAATATGGAGCTGTATACACAAAGAAACAAAATATATGACGTATAATGATAGAAAAAGAAGAGAAAAAAACTCATAGCTATAAAAGACTATCATATGTCTTCTCAATCATAATTTGCACCACATGGCAACGAAGAATTCATATTAATTTATTAGTTCATAAACCTATAAAAATATAAAATGGTTGCGAATTTATGTCTAGTTTTGCTTCTTGCTTTATTGTTCTGCGCAATAAGTGAGTAACAAATACGTAGAAAAATCAGTATTGTGACAGTCAAATTCGTATTTCTAGCCAATGCACTGCCTCCTAAACGTTACCGTCGGCAAACTGGCGATTTTGCAAAAGAGGACCTACCCTATGGAGGATGGGGTGGAGGGTCGAGCAATCCAAGTGGTGCCATTCCGGGTGCTTATTATGGTGAGAAATTATTCATATCGACGAACATATTTTAGGTAACTGTTTTTTTTGTCCATGTAATCATAGGTACTGGAATCAACCCCAATTATGGTGACTTTGGACCGAACAGAAATGATGCCGACAGTAGTATTCATACACTAAATTATAATCAAGGTTATTCGTATAACAGTGGTTTTGTTCCGCAATGGAACCCACATCAATCAGAACAGAATGAGCATTGGTATAATTTACCGAACAATAATTATAATAATCCGTTGCAAAGACCATATAGTAACTCTAATAACAATCGACCATATAATCGTTATCCACCTGGAAGTCAAGGTTGGTATGCGACTGGTGGAAATTATTGGTATAATAAAGGACAATATAGTATTCCACATATTTGGCTCTTGATATCGAGTATTCTTATGTCAATTATTTGTAAATAGAAAAATAAAGATAAAATAATGCTCATTGCATGAAACTTCAATCAATTTGAATCGTCATTTGATTTTCAAAGTGTCTGTTTTTTTTATTCTATTCGATTTAATCAACAATAAATTAAATGATAGAATAAATTTGCTGCGCTCTACCCAGTAACTTTGAGATAACGTCTATATCGTTACTAATGAGAATGTAATATTAGTTTAAACTTCTATTGCTCTATTTGTTTCTTTCTTTTGGCTAATTTTCATGTTAGAAAAGTTATATCGATGTACTCATAAAATTTTCACAAGAAACACTGAGGAATAATTATATTGTTATCTGGTAAAAAAAACTTAGAAACGTTCTTATGGGTTCAATAAAGGGTATTAATTAAGATATATGACCATATATTCCTGTCACTGAATGTTACTTGCGTCGTTGACGGTGCACTAAGGTTGATCATTATACAGAAAACATTCAATACGTAGAAAATTCAGTGAACTTAAACAAAAACTATTTTATTCTAATTTTTCGGTTATTGACTCTTATTTCTGATCATGAGTACTTCGAACTACTATTAGAGTATATGAAAAGTTGGTAAAACATGTTAAATTGTATCTTGTATCGATGAATCATAGAATAAAATTAGACAGAGTAGAAGTATAATTAATAATAGAAGTTATTTATAAATGATTTTCTTACATAAAGTCTTGAAAACAGTGTTATTTGTTTAACATCACTGTGATTCACTTTATCATCGGGAAAATGATAAATAAACTCGTTGTGAAAATGTTTTCATCGTTTGAATATACTCTTTAATTATATTCTTTTTGAGAATTCTACATTCAATGACAAAAATGATTTTCATTATGTAAAATATAATAACCCATGTTCTTTGCATTACTCATACTTTCAAATATATGTACAAGCAAATAGGATATCTTAATTATTATCTATCAGCTGAGTTATTATTGTGATGATATAAAATTTAAGCTAGTTAATGAATTTTAAACAATCTTTATTTAATATTGCTATTCATTCGTTCTGTTAAACTCATCATTAATCAATCGTTATCTAAACCAGTGGGAAAAATTTGTCTATCTATACTTTCCACTGAGAATAGCATTCAACAACTATAAAAGATATGAGAGTCATTGGTATTTTCGACAACTCTTCTACGCTTATCTACAACAATTCATTCTCATCCAGCAGTAAATGCGTATCAAATAAAGTCGACCCATCGAACATTGCGTCCGATACATGACATAGAAACTACTTTCGGGGGTACATTGACGTAAAAATTCGTAGTCTACTATAAGATTCTTTTTTCCCTTTTAGTGTAACTATTTTCCACCATCTATGAATATTGTCTTATGCTAGTTTGATCTAGAATACCTTGACCTACTAAAACTGTAAATCTACAAAAGAAAACAAAGTCATGCACAGAGAGAGATAAATAATATTAGAATAGAATATGTATTATTTCTCTTCGACTAGTATCGGTACAAAACCAAAGAAAAGATTTAAAATTGACTGCTAGATTCATAACCGTATAAGTTCCCTAGATGATACACATGATATATCGGGTTTTTCTTGCCAATTAAATTTTTGCTACAAGTGAGTAATTAAAACAAAGAAAGTAAATTTTGACGAGCACGAGCATCGATATTTCTAGTAAATTCGATATCTCATAAAGGTTATTATTGTCCAGTCGTTCATCACAAAAAAGACGATCTTCCCTATGGAGGATCGGGTGGAGGGTCGAGCAATCCAAGTGGTGCCATTCCGGGTGCTTATTATGGTGAGAAATTATTCATATCGACGAACATATTTTAGGTAACTGTTTTTTCTTGTCCATGCAATCATAGGTACTGGAATCAACCCCAATTATGGTGACTTTGGACCGAACAGAAATGATGCTGACGGTAGCATTAATACACTAAATTATAATCAAGGTTATTCGTATAACAGTGGTCTTGTTCCGCAATGGAATCCACAGCAATCAGAACAGAATGAGCATTGGTATAATTTACCGAACAATAATTATAATAATCCGTTGCAAAGACCATATAGTAACTCTAATAACAATCGATCATATAATTGTTATCCATCTGGAAGTCAAGGTTGGTATGTGACTGGTAGAGATTATTGGTATAATAAAGGACAATATAGTATTCCACACATTTGGCTCTTGATATCGAGTATTCTTATGTCAATTATTTGTAAATAGAAAAATAAAGATAAAATAATGCTCATTGCATGAAACTTCTTTTTATTCAATAAGCTTTCAACTGCCGCTCGTTTTTCATAACGTTTCGGTTTTACTTAACTGAGTTGACCAGAAAAAAATTTGATACATATAATAAATATGCTTTATTGATGAGTCAATGTCTTTTTTTGATATGCAAGAAAATCGTGATACTCATACTAGACTCAGTGTAACCAAGCATACAAGATTTCATTAGTCTTATGGCTATGAAATATAGTCGATGCGTTTACTAATAAGGACACAACACTAGATTAAACTAATCTTGTATGATTCGTTACTATCCATGGATTCCATTTAAAGATCCGGATTTAGAAAGTTCTTTTTATCGATACCTTCATTAGACTCTCACAAGAAATATTGTCGAATAACTATATTCTCATTTAAGAACAAAGCGAAAGCGTTGACAGATCAAACAAATGCTATATATTTTAATGGCCAAGCTCTACTCTTGAAAAGCTTCTTTTAATGAGTACGATGTGATTTGCATTTAGATTTTATTAGAGACACAATTATTGCTTCTCATTAATGTTAAAATAGATTGTCTACTATCGCCTATATACTTTGTACTCATGCATCGATTAAATTTTGTTTTTCTTTTGCTGTTTTATTTATAGTATACTCATCAGAAGAAAAAAAACCGAAAGATACCGATGATTCTTTTCTCTATACAACCATCATGACAGACACACAAAACAAAGACATATACACACAAACATTTATATATATATATCTTAATAGGAGAGACTATACACATCTTTGACAAGTGAAAATATATATGAACAGAAACACATGATAGAAATAGGTTTTTCCTATTTGATAATATATCAAAATGAAGATAGGACAAAAAAAAACGAATAATACTAGATTTTAGACAGATAGAAGCAAACGAAGACAATTGAACCATTAGAGACGACTGGTCGCATCAAACAGATTGTGTACGTATATACTCTTTCATAGACATATTTTGCATGTATTTTTCAAAATTCATCTTGTCCTTCTCGTACCTCATCATGAATTGTTGATGACGACGATGATGATTGAAATGGAAAAATAACAGGACCACTACCATGATCATTAGCTCGCAAAGAACAAAGCTGTTCGAAACTGGATTCTGTTGATGATGCTGGTTTGTCTTGTTGTTTTCGATAATTTTCAAATAGGTCAGGCAATGGAGGAGCTGATGTCGAGTTTATTTTATCTTCATTATGATGATGCTTTTTCACCATATCTGCATCATCTGATTGATGCCAAAGCGATTGTTCATCGAAAACAGGTGGAAATTGTGGTTCGAAGGATATCTTAAATTAAAGAAAAAAAATAGGATATTGAATTAATCAAATTGTTTTTTATTCACTTTTTTCATTTCAGCCAGTCGTCGTTCACTTGCTGTTTGTTCATTATTCATCAATTCATCATCAATATCAAATCGTTCGACTTCATCCTAAATAGTTCAATTAGTATTGGATTTATTCAAGTTTTAGCTGCTATTTGAAAATATATAAAGAACAAGAATCGTATAGTATGCAATTAAAATAAGGGTAAGATACATAGATTGATAATTTATCATACGTATTCGAGTGAATAGAATGAGTGTATGAAAATTGACTTCATTTGCTATTTCACTTTGATACGCATATAATACATGTTTATGACCGAGTCTGTTCAATAGTTTATGTTAATAAGATTTCAAATTTAGAAACACACAGGACACTGGCTTTCGAAAGAAAATAAACGTGTTTTAATAGGTATTGAAATGAGATGATCACAAATTCTTATATTGCAGCTAAAATTTTCGCTATGTATATCATTGTAAAGTCCTTAATGAAGTTAGTTTTGACTTTTTTTGTTCGAAATAACATATTAGATCTTTTCCATGTTAGTAAAGTTAAGTATAATACTTCTAAAAATTGTGTATAGACTTTATTTCCATATGGGTGAAAATATGGAGACCCAGCCACTTTTTGGAAAATTTTTTTTTCGATCTTTTTTCAGTTGAAATTTCCGGTATGCTGTAGAAAACAGTTTTGATGAAAAAATGAAAACAAAATGGGTACTTGTATCCGAAATTGTGGGAGATCCAGAGTATTCTTTAGGAACGTCTCAGCTTTCTCATGCGCACTCAACCGTGAAAGTCCGCGAGCCTCAGAAAAGTTTCTNGGATACAAGTACCCATTTTTTTTTCATTTTTTCATCAAAACTGTTTTCTACAGCATACCGGAAATTTCAACTGAAAAAAGATCGAAAAAAAAAACTTTTCCAAAAAGTGGCTGGGTCTTCATATTTTCACCCATATGGAAATAAACTTATCAATAGATATCTCTTAGTCAAAATAAGAAAAACTAGCCGATTGAGTAAAAGCAAAACCAAGCTGTTAGAAAGCTTAACCTTTAACTCTAATGATGATACATTTTACATAAGTAAAATTAGTCTTTTTATTTTCATAATTGGAGAATTCTTTAGAAAAAATTTGTATGCATCATTCTCTATGCCTTTGCCAAAGCTCTAAGCCTAGCACTTATACAATAGTTTTCAATCAGATAACTTAAATATAAGTGAAATAAAACTTGAATTATCTAATTTTTTCTCACATAACTTACATCATCATCATCATCATCATCAATATAAGCTGGTCCGCTACTACCAAATGATCTCATATGAAATGTTTGTCGTCGATGAATTGCTTCACTGCTATCATTATTATGTCCTATCACGTGCGTAGCAGAACTTAAACGAAAACTATTGGAACTATTTTGTTCTTGATGGTGCATAGCCAAACATTTCTTTTCATCTTCATTGAGATAATCAAGTCCTGTTTCCCATCGTATTTCAAGTAGATTTGTATTTTCATCGAATTGTTCTTGATCATTATTTTTTAAATATACTGAATAATTATTGAATGTTGGTGCATGTTCACGTAGACAACGAAGCATTTGAATAACATGACCTGAATTAGGTGATGTAAAACGTGTATGAAGTAAAGACGATGTTATAGCATCATCAGACGATGAACTTGTTAAAACTGATTTACTAGATGCAACATTTAATTCATATTGATCAAGTAAACGTTCGATTAGATTAACTTCAGAGCCAGATAACAACGATTGAAATAATTTATATGAACAACGATTTGAATAATGAACCGATGAAGAATTGGCAAACTCTTAAGAAGAATTTTATTAGATTTCATTTGAAAAAAAATCTCGTGTTAAATATGTGCATAATTATATATATGTACCTGAGTCAGATGGTTTTATTTGTTCATTAAGAGGTATACGTGTCCAGATATCATTTGGTTGTTTAACAGCCAATGAATTAATATGCAAAATTAAACGAATAATCATATAAACTTGTGTATGAAGAAAATTATTATAAATATGATGGTAGAAAAGATCGATTAATATATATAATAGACGATTAGAATTTAATATCTGATAAATATAATCACCGGTACAATCATTTGATATTGTATGAATTAACTTTGAAAAAAATTTAATTAAATTTAAACGCATTGCTCCTATAAACAGAAAAGCACAGATGTTGTAAATCGAAAAGAAAAAAAACCGTTATTACGAACCAAGAGGTTCACTAATAAATTGATATTTTACTGTTTGTGAACTATCATGTGATGGTGATGATGGTATTAATGGTGCCGATGGAGTTGAAAGTAATGCAATTAATGATGACAATCGAGAAGGAATTACTTCGAGTAATGTTAAATAAATTTGAATACGAGGGTCTTTGATATTTACTGAAAGAGTTTTTAATGTATTTCTGTTCATTTCATCTGACGATTTCTCATTAGATTTAATCACTGGTAATACATCTCCTTCGTCGTCAATCTTTAGAAAATATAAATTGTTATGTCGTTTTTTACATTGAATTAAAAAGATTTCGATTTACCTGCATTCGTTCATTATCGTCTTTATCGGATAAGAATTGATGTTTTGATATTGATTTCTCTTGTACAAATGATGTTATCGGAATGCATAGTGGTGGAGCCATATATCGCCCGAGTAGATCAAAAATATTGACGATAAAGTCACAACCATGTGCCACAAGTCCTGGCTGATTACTGAGGGCATCGAATAATTTTTCTAAATTTGATTTCGATAAAATATGTTGAGCAAGTATCAAAGGCGATATATTCCCGTCAACTCGATTACTCGTTGTGTTATCATCAACGTCATCATTATTCGAAGAAAATCGATTGAGCGCTGTTGATTCTAGAATCAAATATGAATGTATTTTGAAATAGAGTTTTAATAAACAAATAAATGAAAGAACACGTACAACCATAGAAAAACATGGATCCAGAAGAAACATGAGTTTTATTTTTCCACTTTCGACTAGGTTATTCCTTGAGAGAAAACATCAATAATGTTCAAGTCTGTGACATCTCTGCTGTTTTTTTCTCTCGACAGCAGAGTCAAACGAGCTGGAGCCATAATACTCTTGCTAGATAATTAATAGTTGTATATATCTTTTCTCGAAACGAATTTCTTTAGTGAGATCATATTGTTGAAGTTTTTCAAAATTTGATGTTTGAACTTAATATTTTTATAGTACAAATTTATTTTTCGCTTGTACCTACACCCGAATTTTTAGGTTTCTGTCTATAGGAGTTAGTGTCTAATGGCTATATTGTTAAGCTTTAAAAAAGAGAATAATGCATTGTCGTAATTTTAGTTGATGTATAAGATTTTTCTAGATGTACCAACATTTCATTTTATATAAAAATGTTCATATGTTTTTTAACAAATACGTTAGAAACAAATCATTTTCTTTATAAAAAAAAAGAACAAAAAACGACCCAATTCTAGCCGAGATGTATACATATATACTGAGAGCTGCAAACTTTTCTTTGGCAATGTTCACAGGTGAGAAGATTTACTTAGACTAAGATAAGCAGTATTAATTCAGGCTTCATGTGTGCCATCTTTGCAAAATATTCTATCGATTTAGATCAAATCAAAGTAAAACCGACTATGTCTTCTCTTTTTTTTATGCTGTCGGCTATAGAACCTGATATATGTAGGCTTAAGAAGAAATTATATTTAAAAAGACTAACATATATCACAATATTTATTCAAAGCATTATCGTCATTTATCGTTCTGCAATATGGAGGGAGGACAAATATTTTATGTAAAATTATTTCTTAGCTTTACTTAATGGATTGTGAAAACAATAGACATGTTTTAAATTTTGACTCATTACAACAAGTTTTTTAAGAATATCTAGGAATCAAAAGTGAATGGAAATAAATTTTGTTTTTGTTATATGTATTTGTAAATTCACTTTAAGACACTTTAAAAATATTATCTCGTTTAACTATTTATTCTACATTATGATCGATACCTACATCCATGTTTTACAAGAGAGAAAAACTTATTGCTGCGCTACATTTTTGAGTCATCAATAAATTTTTTGAAATATTGACTCGGATGATTTTCATATGGAATGCACATGAAAGATTCCTTAAATATATCTTAGATTTCTCGATTATATAGTTAATAAAGTAAAAAGTTCAATATCAAGAAGATGAAAATCTGCTGTATCAGAAATGTATTCACTCATTGGAAAGCTATCGAAACTATACAAATATATATTTGTCCACTTCATACATAAGAATCTTAGGTTTTGAGCAATAAACCGAAGTCAAAAATTCATTTTATTTTCTATTTATATTTCGCAGTGATTTTTTTACGTAGAATATTACTCTATGCTTGGCCGAATCAATTTGAATACAATTGGCATCTTTCATCGACAAGAAGAATGAATAGTTGAGAAACATACTTCAAGTTTCAGCTCAAAATTTCGTTTCATAATGCAAGTCAAATTAAGAAGTAAAAGTTTTCACTCTCTAAAGACTACCAGTTCAGGAAATCTTATTTTTGTTAATTTCAATGCGAGATTCAGAGTGTATTCATTTTGATCTCTATGAACGCGAAAACAGAAAACTCGATGTAATTTTGCCAATTAGTTCGGTGATTTCCTATGTTCATAATTGAGACATGCACAAATAATTATCTAAATTGTCTTTTGGATTATGTATCTAACTTAAGTTACATGTCCAAATCCATAAAACATCTAAACAGCATACTATTGTCATACATGCTTTCGAATATTCTGAGATAATGACAGCCTGTCTAGATAATTCTTTATTACATAGCACTCAGTAAAATGACATTCTCAATTCTCAAAAAGCATAGCTGAACAACTGCTCGAGTTATTAAGTTCTTGACATTGAATTCATTCTGACACGGGCATCAGCTTTATTTTTTTATAAAATATGAAAATATATTTTACTATGAGAGAAAAACAAAGCTTGCAATGAATTCTGAAAAGAAAAAATTCTAGGCCACATTCGAACTGTTGTTTACTTATCTTGAAAAAAGAAGTTTCTTTCATAATTACACATCAAGAATCCTATTGATTCAAATCATCCTTTGTTCTACAATCGAGCTTTGTTTAATAACAATAAAAGATCTATTTGAAAGATTATATAGATTGTTTGATATCGCTCTTTAATTATTCTTCTATCACTCCTTCTTCTTTTTCAACTACTAACTTTCTACACAAAACACAAACCTTCATCATATTCCTTTGCATTATCTGGAAGACATTCATTTGCAGATGATAATAGCGTTGTATTAGTATTTCGTTGTTGAAAATCGCTCTCACTTCCATTATGTTGATCGAAAGCTAAACGTATAAATTCACCAAGTAAATTAACAATATTCATTTGAATATACGCTGATTCAGTAGTTAATAATTGTTCAATAAGACCATCAATTAAATTAATATCTTCATACCATTTAATGGCTTGTGAACGTTGCTCACCACAATCAGCAATTAATCGATATAAAACATCTGTAATTGATGTTGAATCAAGATGACGAAAAAAATCATTTTTAAATGTTTCACGAGATTTTAAATACGTAATTAATTCTTGTGGGCGTCGTATAACTAATGTCATAATTATTCGTGAAAAGTACGATGCTAGAATTGGATTCAATGTTGATCTATCATTGGGTTCATGAGAAAGTAAAAATGAATATAATAAATCCAAATTTTCTTTTTCAAGTAATTTTTCTTGTATACGTTGAAAATCACCAGATAATAATTCACTAACAACTTGTGCATTATGAAAATTATTATCCGTTGGACATAGTTTTATACAACCAATTAATTGCTTCATGATATTCTCTTGTACGAGATAGTCAAGAAGACGATCATTTTGCGTAAGACATTCTTGAATTAAATCATTTTCGTCAAGAAAATCTTGTAAACTAACACTATTCGATGGTTGATCAAGTAATTTATCAATTGATGATATTACTACATGACATTCCCAAAACATGTTTATTTCTTATGTGCTTTTTTTTATTGATATTATATATAAATACAATATAAAATATATTTTAACTCATATCTAAACATTAAAAAATATCAATCAAAATATTCGCTTTTTTTTGCTTCAGCAACTTATTTCCTTAAGGATGTATACGACCTCGTTATTGATAAAGTGAGAAAAAAAACGAGTACCAAAATGACATGCATAACTTTATGCCACCCACTTATTCAAATAACAACATATAATCATCGTTTCATTTTCAGTAAACGAAGAGAGAAATAAACGGTACATAGGTAAAAAAAAAAAAAAGAAAAAAATAACGAAATAGTTTCTCTACGCGAATATCAATCAATACCTTATTTATACACTTGAAAAACGAGCGTGTCACTTTATTTTAACAGCATGCTGACTACAGTTATACTCTGCATTCTTCTCACATTTACCAATCAAATAAATGGTCGAGTATTTCATACAAGGGTAAATTAATTTTTAAATTTTTAAAATTCTCAAATATTAATAAAGACTACAGAATATTATAATCGCGTATATCATGTTATTTTTATTTTACCCGATTTTACTAACTAGTATTGAAATCATCAGTCAAAATGAGAAATAACATAAAGAAACGCCTCGAAATTAAAATAACATGATATATTCGCGTATAATATCGGTAGTCTTTATTATTAAGTGTATTATCGAGCAACTAAATATGATGATTCTATCATTTAAAACTATGTCTCACAATTATCTCCATGTCTAGGAAGATAGTTTAACTATAATGCGCGAAAAGTGCGCTAAAAATCCTTATGACGAGGATTGCATACGAATTAAACAACAAATGGAAGATTTACTTCGTAAATGTAGTGCTATGGCGACTCCGGTATCAGCTTGTAGTGACGTCAAAGGTAAATTTTGCGCTATATGGTCTACAGAATTGTACTGCTTCATATCTAACAACGGCGGTGGGGGTAGTCAGGTTTGTTTGAAGTATGTTTTTTTTTTCTTCGTCTACTTATTTTATGTAAAGGTGACAACAAAATCACCATCATGGAATACTGATCCCGATTGGAATCAAGTATGATTATTTTAGATTTTCAGCTTATTCTTTGATTTTTACATATACGTATATAGATTCCATACGATTCGTATGAACTAAAATCGCGTGGAGATTACTGTGTTACGCATCAATCGGAACAAAAATGTCGTAATCTCTTAAACGCACTGAAAATTCGCTATGACGAATGTTCTAAACGTCCAAGCACGGATGCTAGTTGCCAAAGTTTTAAAGTTTCACTTTGTTCAGCTTTTCCGAAATTTTCTCCGTGTCTTAACGGCAGTAGTGGAAGGAGAGTAAGTTTGTCAGAAATCTCAAAAAATATTGTGAAAATAAATTGAATTTTTCTATGCAGCGACAAGCAACTCAACTTGAAAATTCACTTCGCAAGCGCCTACAGGTAAGAAGAAGTTAGAAAAATAAAAATAGTAAGTGTAATAATTAAAAATATGAACTCACACACGAGATTAATAAATAACAGAGAAAAAAAACATCAAATGTCACACATATCGGACGTCACTACAGTCGATTTATTTTGTTCTCTTAAATTGATTCTAGCGAAAAATAACTTTTTAATTGAGACATGATGGCAGTTTCACAACACTATTTTAAAAAAAAGTATTCAAATAAAAATATTTTCATTTTTTTTACCATTATTTGTTGTCAATCGTGTTCATTCTTTATATGTTACTAAAAAGATGTCACTAATCATTGAGCACTTTTTTTCTTTTATTTTAGGCATTCAAACGTAATCATAATTAAATATTGATTGTTTTTTTCTCTTATTTCTTATCAAAAGTATGCGTTCCATGGTCATTTCCTCGTGTGTTCTCCTATGGTTCCTATCTCTTTATATTTTTAATGTTAATTTATCGAGCAATAAAATAAAGAAAAAACATTCTAGATGATAGGTGGGGTGCCCGCATAGCTGATATGTTCATGATGAAGTGAAGTGGAACTGTATACGATACGATTACTAGTCTCATGATAGATTAGTATTTGTAGAGAACAAATCTAAACTGATGTATTCAGTTATTTCTTTCTACAATCTTATGTATTTCAATGTTTTTGATGAATATGTCACACGGCGACACCTATATTTATTGATGAAGATTTTTAACATCAAATCTTGAAATATTTCCGGTATAGGAAAAAATTCAAATTTAAATGAGTTTATATTCGTGGAGAAAATACATAATAAGTAAGATGAAGTTGTATCAATCAAAAGAGGAAAGGAAGACGTTCGAACAGATAATATGGTGAACTCGTTGTTAAATTGCACTCTAAAAAATGCCAAGCGTCTTTTAAAGCGGTCCATATGTCTAGGGGTCAAACAGACTACAAAAGTGAATTAACTTAATTCTGAATTAAGTAAATGCGCGTCCACACCAAGAGGTTAATTCACCAATCAAACGAAGGAGAAGACATCTATCCAAATTGGAGTCGAATAATAGATGGCTGTATTAGATGTATCTATTGCTTTGACATTTGATTGATAGTTTTATCAAACCAGTATAAAATAATATAATTTATTTAGGATGCTATAATCAAAATGTTGGTATGTATATTTTATTTAAATTTAAATTTCTTATTTATCTAGAATAACAAGAAAGCAATCATATTAATAAATATCAAAATCTAGTTTAATTGAAAATTGTAAGTGAGAAAACTACTTCTAAACAGTGAGAACAAAAACACTTTATATTGAATTTTTCAAAAAATATTGTGTTAGTGCATATCGAACATCATTTCCACCACGTGTTGATGCTTTATATAAAGGCTTTTTATAAATATTTTCAGGAGCAAGCATATCCCAATCAGCTTCAGAATGATCTCCTGTAATAATACATAAATTATGTAAAATAACAATCCAGGTCGAGCATTACGGCTACCAGAAACGGTCGTATACGGCCGTAAACGTTAGCGTATACTGCCGTTTCCTGCCGTTTCTCATCGTAAATGGCCGTAACGTGCCGTTTTGATATGCACCGTATTACGGCCGTAATTAATCGTGTCGTAAACTGTTACTAACGACCGTAATGTGGTCGGATATTTCCGTATACGATCGTTTATGACACGATACAAAACGACTGTAATATGGTGCATACCAAACGGCCGTGTACGACACACGTTGATCGACCTGGGAAGTGTTTTTATAATTTAGTTTTGTTAAAATAGTCCATAATAAAGTTAGACGTCGAAAAATATCATGAACATCATGATAACTCTAATGAGCCTCAACCAAAAACATGTCAAAATAGGCGACACTCTTTCTATTTTGTATTGTACAAATACACATGCCATCTAATTGGCGCATTAGCATTGATTCGTTCAGAAAAGACGACTTAATTCTGTTTTAACGTAATGCGCAATTCTATTGGTTACTTCAGTATTAACTCGCGTAGTCTGTTCGACCCCCTAAAGTCTAATTTAGACAGGAGTTAGATAAATAAAGCTTCTTGTTTTTAGGCGCTTGGATAAAGTAGACATTGATGCGTCTTATTTGCTTAAGACGTTTAGATATGATGTATATTGATATGCCTCGAGCCTTGTTCTAGCTCAAATATGATTAGACAGTCACACACAAGCAATGCATAATTCAATCTTAAAGTGTGTACACAAACTATTCAAGTTATTTATCAAGTCTTGTAGAAAATCACAAGTATATTTTTTTTTAAATTTATTTAAAAAAAACAATGCAGTTTTAAATATAAATAAATGCACATATATACGTATATATTACTTGTTTTATTTCAGATTTTCGCCGTATCCCACTATGTTATGTTTTTGGTGCTTCTGCAGGATACACACACACCCTCATTGTTTTACTGTATATGAGAAGGAACGAAAGAAAAAGTAATTGGTTACTTCTCTCTATCGATTGGAATATTGCTATCAAAGGTGACGCACCCAGGAGGATCGTTCCGACAATCGGACCCAATAAGATGCTATAGGAATCCGATCGAAATTTCTATTTGAATTTTCAATAAACCAACGAATCCCTATCGAATTTCGAGCTGTGGAATGACATTCGGGTCCCTAGCGTCAGAATAACATTGGATAATCATCGGATCCTACTAGGGGTGCACCATATCCAATTCCTGGATTTGATATGGAGTTGACAGGACTTGGATTTGGATCTGACTTGGAGCTGGATTTGGTTAGGGATGTCATCATACCAATACGGTATTAGGGTATTGATATTGAACCGAGTATTGGTATTGGGCTGATAGTGAACTACTCGTCAAGCGAGTACGACCTGCCAGCATGAGTACACAAAAGACTCGTTGGAGTACTCGTGAAATTTTCTGTGTATCTTTAATGTTCGTGTACTCAAGTGAGTACTCGCATAAGTTAACTTTCTGAAATTCACTCGCCTACGATAGTCTGAGTACTCAAAGTAGTACTCGCTTCTGTGTTTCGACAAAACCCCAATGCACTAACATGTAAAAAGTTAAATTACATTGTATAAAAACAAAATTTGATGAAATCAATTTTAAAAAATCAAAAAAAAGATTTCGTGGATATGTTTATTCTATCCTTCAGTTTTAATAGATGATTCATTTTTGTCCATACAGCGATTGGAAATATCAAAGCAGCTATATTTCACTTTGTGAACAGAAAGACAGACAGACGACACCTATTATTTTCAACTGCTCGTTTTTCGAATAAAACTAAGTATCTATTTTCAATGTAACAATAATTTGATCACTTTTTATTTCTAAATTTCAGATTAAATTTTATTTCAGATTTAATTTTATTTCAAATTAGTTAAGATTTTTTTCTGGTTACTAAATATAGCATCAATGATTCATGTCATGAAGTTTCTTTTTTTTGTATAAGGATCGCTTTAACATAAATTTGTTTTCATACACGAATCGGATCAAATTCTTTTATAATTGTGCAAGTCAACAAGAAATGTTTCAAATTTAAATAGACATGATATTATTAAATAGGATAATTGTAGTTTGAGGAAGAAAAAAAGAAAAATTAGTTTTAATATAATTTTTAGTAATTTTTAAAAATTTTTTATTATTATTTGAGGAAAGTAAAAAGGAAACAAAGATAGTGAAAAGGAAAAGATAATGAAGGTAAAGATTAGAAGGATAAGGAAAAAATATATTTAATATTAAATTCAATATTATTAACGCAAAGGGCCTTTCGAATTGTATCTTTATAAAGCAATTTTTTGAAGAAGTTCAGTGAATTATATATGTGGAGAATAAATAGAAATTTTTGCAGGAACAACGAGTTTGAATGTCATGTTTGTTACAATTAAAGTAATGTGTTCTTGTTTTGTTTATCGGAATTTGCAATATGTATATATATATATCTGTTTGATAATATATTCTTTTTTTTATTTTTCAGCATTTCTCGATAGATTTTTTGGTGCTTGTTTTATAATGTTATTTTTTGCTTTTTCATATGTGCTTCTATGTGTTTCGATGTATTTTTTAAATGTATTTTTTAAATGATTTCAATGGATTCCATTTAATGTTTTTAAAGATTTTTATTAATGCATTTTAATGTGTTTTAACGCATTCTTATGTAGTTTAATGTATTATCATTTATTTTAATGCGTTTTAATGTATTATTATGCAGTTTAACATATTATTATGTGTTTTAATGCATTTTACTGTACTTTAATATATTTTAATGTTTTAATGTATATTCTTGCTTTAATGGATTTTCAAGTTTTTATATATTTTCTTGTTTTAATGCATTTTCATGTTTTAATGTATTCTAATGTGTTGCTGATAGTGTGTTTTTTTTGTATAGTAAGGTGGAAGCATATATTTTTTTATAATTTTTTAGACGTTGAAGTGGAGAAAGTTAGTTTGAGTAGGGGAGAGGAATTTTTTTACAAATAATGGGAGTAGGGCGATTTTACAAATAATGGGACAGATTAACAATGATTTGAAAGATTTTTTGTTACAATATATAGAAGGAGGATTTTTGTTTACAATAAAAATAACAAATAACGAGAAAAGCTAACAGCTAAAGAAAATGAGTTATGTGTTTTACAATCAATTAGGGTAGGTTAAGGTAGATAATAAAGAAAGATATATGTGTTTTACAATCGATTAAAATAGATTGAGATAAAAAACTGTTACAGGGATGTCGCTCGCATACAACTCTATATATCTATATATGTCATCCTCTATCCTCTTTCATCTTCTTTGATCTGGATTTGTTTCTCTTCTTTCTCTCTCTTCTNGAGGAGTGATCGTGTAGAAGCACCAATACTTCAGATAAAATAGTTTTCATTATTCTCATCAATGTTTTCCTATATTTTACTTGTTGTTTTTTATAATTGATGAAATTCATCTTTATTTCTATTATCATGTTTTCTTCTTGTAGCTATTTTGTATTTATCTACTCCTGAAAATAGCGTGATTAGCACTATTGTATCCCATAAAGATTAATGGAGAGAAAATATTGCGCATAATTCTAAATCACAAATAATAATAAAAAAAACAATGAAGTTATGATTTCTAATTATTTCTCGTAGTTTCTTTTTCAATTTTTATGAGTTCCTATTGAAACCAATTGAAATTATATCTCAATCAATCAAAATATTATTTATGAATCGCAATGAGAGTTCTTTGCACTTCATATGCTTTGTATAGTTATTAATGGGGACGCTTTTTAGTTCTGTTAACCATCGAAATGAAAATATCAATAATACGAACAACTTGTTGTAAGCTCTAGACTTTGCTATGAAAGATAGAATTCAAAGCTACCATCATATATTCAGATAAAAAATATAATTATATTATCAACAACAAGTTTTAGATGCATGAAACAATGTTGTTACACTTCTATTTATATTAATTCAAAACAAACCAGTGTATGATTTATTAATAGTAGTAACTACATTTTTTATTAAGCCATACTGTGAATACAATGTAGTTCATCAGTAAGCACAAGAAAAAATGAAACAAAATTCTATAAAAACACGAATTTTTTATCGTTGATGACAATGATCTATCTGACTAAAGTAAACCAACTAATAAAGAAGTTGAAGATTTAAGAAAATTTTGAGAGAGAAAAAGAGAATATATATATATATATATATATATGTATGGTATAGGTGCCTAATTACAGCCATCGATGTCCCATAAGTTTATCGTGTAAATAATCGTCAATTAATTTTTTTGTACCATTTTCATAAATAGCTTCGATTTCCATTTTACGTTGATGTTGCTCAAAAAATGATACTTGTCGACGCCATTCATCACTAATATCCAATCGCTGGATGAATCTAGAAATCATTCGACGTTCACGTTCATCCGTTATTGGTAATGTTTGAGAAATACTCAACGAGCATAATGATAATAGTTCTTCAGGCCATACACCTAACCAACGAAAACGATGACGATCATTGGGATCGAAAGTTGATTGATAAGTTGATGCAATTAACACACCAAATATATCACAATCAGTTAATATATAAATAGGAGTTTCATTGTATACACGAGACAATTGAAAGAGAAAGGAACGTGTTGCATGATCGGGTTGACCACGACCTGTTATTAAACATGCACCATGATATCGAGTTAAAAAGCCATGATTTAGTAAATGCTAGAATGATGGAACATCTATCATAATTTCATCTAATATTGTTATTCACATTTATTACTTGAAATATCGTGTCTTTTTCCACTACAAGTATAAATGTAATATGATGTTCTGTTTCGATAATTTCAACATCATCATCAACTATTAATTGACCATTCGATAGTTGATTACAGTCGATGATTTCTCCACTACGTACAATTCGATATCGTAAATTGCCTAAAGAATTCATAATAAACAAAATATTTTTTTTCTTCTTGACTAAAATAAAATAATTATCTACAAACCAGCACAAAATCCTTTTGCTGTAGCAACCAATCCTAATTGACGTCGATCAACACATAAATGTCGAGCAATTTGTTCAACGATACTGTCACTGATATGTTGTTGATGAAAAAGATTTACTTGAGAATAGAATAATTCTCTCATATTCATTCGACTTTGTGTACGAACAAGACGATGAATCGTCGATAAAACATAGATGTATCGTGTAAAATCTCGACGATCTCTATCTTCAATTTTATCATTCCACTGATAGTTTTGTTCATTAATTATCAACGATGGTAATGATGTTGGTAATCGATACATCTGTTCAACACATAACATACACATATGTTCGATTGCATTTAAGATCTTCAAATCAATATTATCTGACATTATCTAAAATGACTTCCATAGAAATATGAATTTACACTCATATTATGATTGATCTTTTTCTTGACTGCAAGTTCTTACTATCTAATTCACTGTATATTTAGATTGAAGCAGCTTTCTATATACGATATGAATGGATTCTTTACTAGGGTTCTCTAGATCAACATCATGACCATAACTTGTTATTTTGATGTCACTCAAAAAAAACAACCAAAACTACTAATATCAAATAGGTTTTTCTTACACTAAGTTGATGCAGCAGATTTTACGAACACTATAAACACCACCAAAATAAATTCACTAATCATTAAAATAGTTCAATTGTCATCGATCAATTTATGATATGAAATGAACCACTACTGTTTTTTTTATTAGATTAATAAATATGTATTTAAGTTATGACAGAATCAATATAAAAACTCTTTGTCGGATAATAATCGAGTCGCGTATTTTGATAATTATTATCTATTATTCCTGAGCTTAAATAATGAAGAATAAGAGTTAATAGATAAAAAAATATTCATAGCTCCAAGATGTTGAATAAATGATTCATTACTTATAGAGTTCTATTCTATTCTCTTTAATAAGCTAAAAGAGAGAAGACACTTTTAACGGTTTATTTCGTCTTATTCTTTGTCGTTATACAACGATTACACTAAACGTAGGCTGACATCTTCGACTTAGACCTATTATTGGTCGACTGTACCATCATGTATTATATACTAACTATAAATTTTTTTAATAAGTAAACAACCTTTTAAAAGAGAAAATCATTTATCATTGTATATTTTTTCATTTATTCATGGACATTGTTTATGATTCCATATAAAAAAAGTAGCTGAATGAACTTTCGTAAACCACGTCTCGACATTGGTTCCTCTTCTTCACCTTCTCCTTCATCACCTTCTACTGAATCCAGTAAACCAAGAAAACGTCGTTTTGACGATTCATCTGAAACCGATTATATTAATAATAGTAATAAATCAAAAGATTTCAACACAATGTCTCACTCAACTCCAGCAATCAATCGTTTTACACAACAAAAATATTCACAACAATATTTAGAATTACTTAAAAAACGTCGTCAATTACCTGTTTGGGAATACAAAGATGCTTTTATGGCAACGCTCGAAAAAAATCAGGTTACTGTACTTGTCGGTGAAACTGGTTCAGGTAAAACAACACAGATTCCACAATGGTGTGTTGATTTTGCACTTGCTCTACCTGTTCAAAGTGGACAAAAACGTCGTGGTGTTGCATGTACACAACCGCGTCGTGTTGCAGCCATGTCAGTTGCACAACGTGTTGCAAATGAAATGGATGTTGTACTTGGACAAGCAGTTGGCTATTCTATTCGATTTGAAGATTGTTCATCACCAAAAACAATTTTAAAATACATGACTGATGGTATGTTATTACGTGAGGCTATGTCGGATCCATTACTTGAATCTTATGCATGTGTATTATTGGATGAAGCACATGAACGTACATTGGCAACAGATATATTGATGGGTCTCTTAAAAGAAGTAGCTAAACAACGACCAGATTTGAAAATCATTGGTAAGCTGATAATTGAAAGAATTAAGAATTGATTTCTCTCTCTCTCTCTCTGCTTCATTAGTTATGTCTGCTACACTTGATGCTGGAAAGTTTCAAGATTATTTTGATAAAGCACCATTATTAACTATACCCGGTCGAACGTTTCCAGTGGAAATTTTTTATACACCTGAACCTGAGCGTGATTATTTAGAAGCAGCTATTCGTACGACAATACAAATTCATATGAGCGAAGAACAAGAAGGTATGTGATATTGATTGATTATTTTAGAAGGAATCAAAACAATTTTTGGTATATTATTTAAGGCGATATTCTTCTTTTTCTTACTGGACAAGAAGAAATTGAAGATGCATGCAAACGTCTTCAGCGTGATGTTGAAAATTTAGGACCTCAAGCAGGTGAATTAAAATGTATTCCTCTTTATTCAACATTACCACCCAATTTACAACAACGTATATTCGAACCAGCACCACCAAATAAACCAAATGGTGCCATTGGACGTAAAGTTGTTATTTCAACAAATATAGCTGAAACATCATTAACTATTGATGGTGTTGTTTTTGTTATTGATCCCGGTTTTTCAAAACAAAAAGTTTATAATCCACGTATACGTGTCGAATCACTTCTTGTTACACCAATATCAAAAGCTAGCGCACAACAACGAGCTGGTCGTGCTGGTCGTACACGTCCAGGCAAATCTTTTCGTCTCTATACTGGTAAGGAAAAATGATTTTGTTAGTATGATCACAACGCGTTTCTCGTGTGAAACATGATATAGTTGTTGTTAATAGATTCACAAAGAGCTTCTTTTATTCTATACATTGTAGTACAGATTTATCTGGGACATTTTCACTTAATCTTCTAGAAATTCATTGAAGAAGTCATTCTTATATGATAATAAAATACTGAGATAATAGAACGTCGTCAGGATTTAGAGAAAGACAATTTGAAAGTCTCTTTAACAATATTAACCAGATTAGGGGATTGAATATTTCTTTGATAAACAGTGAACTAAATCACGATTAAAATGCTTGTGAAAATAATAGCTTCTCAAGATCAATATAATCACACTCATTCAAAATACACTTTATAAAGTTCTCTCGATATACAATCTGCAATAATTTCTTTTTTCGGTTATATGTGAGAGATAGCGCAGTATTGATTCTTATCTTCTGTGCTGCAATTTTCTTATAAATTATGTTTCATAAAAACTAGATTTCAATGCTTTTTTTTTTTATAAATCTTAACTTCTTTTTTGTTTTTTTAGAAAAAGCATATAAAAGTGAAATGCATGAAAATACATATCCAGAAATTCTTCGATCAAATTTAGGCAGTGTTGTATTACAATTAAAAAAATTAGGTATTGATGATCTTGTTCATTTCGATTTTATGGATCCACCAGCACCTGAAACATTAATGCGTGCATTAGAATTATTAAATTATTTAGCTGCCATTGATGATGAGGGTGATCTTACAGAATTAGGTTCGATGATGGCCGAATTTCCACTTGATCCACAATTAGCTAAAATGGTTATAGCATCATGTGATTATTCATGTTCAAATGAAATTTTATCATTGACTGCTATGCTTTCTGTACCACAGTGTTTTGTTCGACCAAACGATGTACGTAAACAAGCTGATGAAGCTAAAGCACGTTTTGCACATATTGATGGGGATCATTTAACTATGTTAAATGTTTATCATGCATTTAAACAAAACCATGAAGATAATCATTGGTGTTATGAAAATTTTGTTAACTATCGTTCATTAAAATCAGCTGATAATGTTCGAACACAACTTGGCCGTATTATGGATCGGTAAGTAAAATGATTTTTCAGATAATGATTACTATTTCTAGTTGATTTAGATTCAATTTAAGACGTTCATCAACGGAATTCACTTCACCTGATTATTACATAAATATACGTAAAGCACTGGTCAGTGGATTTTTTATGCAAGCAGCGCATCTAGAAAAAACTGGTCATTATTTAACAATAAAAGATAATCAAATTGTTCAATTACATCCATCGACTGTACTTGATCATAAACCAGAATGGGTTTTATATAATGAATTTGTTTTAACAACTAAAAATTATATACGTACTGTCACAGATATTAAACCAGAATGGTTATTAACCATATCACCACAGTATTATGAATTAGCATCATTGCCCGATTGCGAAGCCAAACGACAATTAATGCGTATATATCAAAGAATGGAAAATCAACGAAATACACGACAAACAACATAATATTAACATTTTTTTTGTTGTTTTTGTTTTGATTCTTATTGTTAAGCACGATAGATGATAATGATGGTGTATACTCTCTTTCGCGTTGAATTTTTTCTATTTTTTCTTCTTTACTATTGTCATAAGTCTTTGTTTTCAACTGTTCTTTGTTTTTAGATTATGATTGAAGATGACATTAAAATCTAATTGTAATATTATATCTGACGATGAAAATTGTCGTGATAGTTTTTTGTCAGATTGTGATTTTGATTTGAGTTCACAATCCAAAAATCCAAAGGAGAGACGTACAATATCAGCATTAAATCATTTATCTATTAATCAAAATGAACCACAAACGAGAAGATCAAAAACAAACACTTTTGAAAAACAAATGTTCATTCCGCAAATAGTACAAAAAGAACAGCATCAATCACCAAGCCGAGAGGGTATTGATTCATATATTGGTATGACGAAACTATTGACAAATTCAACTCTATGTTCAAAAAAAGACCTAGCAGATAATCATTATCAAGATTTGCCATTTGATGGTATTAATAAATTGACTGATTGGTTTCAAAATTGTACTTTGAATGAAAACAAATGTAAGGAATAGTTTGAATCAAGTAACAAGTTTTAATCTATATTGTTTTCTATTTAGTTAGTAAAAGTTGTTTTTGGTCAAATCATAAGACAAATAATCAAGATGTATATTCAATAGATTCACCATTATCAAATGTTTCATGTAATTCAAATCCATTTTTAAAATCCCATTCTCCATCTTTGCTGGTTCAATCATCCTCAACTAAAACGTTTTTTGATCAAGATAAATTATGGTCTCGTTTTCATTTTACTTCTGCAACTATTGGACATGATTTATCAATTGAACATTTGAACTCTGCATCATCAGATCTATTCTGTACTCCAACTAAACAATGTTCTGGCCAATCTTCAATGTTATCATTTTCACCTTTACAAGTAGTGCCATATTCATTAAAAAAACCTACACCATTAACAAAACAAGAATCATCGTCTCCACTATTAACACAATGTCAATTTACCGAATCGGAAATTTCAAATAAAAAAGAAGAGATAACTGTTCGACAACAATCATCGTCGAAAATCTTCTTTACTTTAATAATATTTGCCATTGGTCTTGTGCTTGGTTATTTATTAAAAAAATCATTTTCGCCTTACCTTATACTTACTTGGATTTATGTTATTTGCGAAAAATTTATTCAAATAAGCATAGGATACTTCTATCTATTATATATTCATCTACAAAAAGTTATGAAATACTTTTTGTCATTGATATTCATTTAAATTATTTCATTTATGGTATTTCTTTACTCTTGCTTATTTGTTTTATTACTAAGTTAAATTTTCTTACAGTGATATCTAATTGTTATTGTTTTTCTTTTTTTCTTGTTGTTAAAAAATTATCGATATAAAATTAGTCAAAAATGGACGATGAAAATTTGAATAAAACATATCTATAGAAATTATGATAAACAAAAAAACATAAATCATTTTCAGAAAGAATATTATGGCTTCAATCGAACAACTTGAAACACTTCGAAACGCTGAATTGCATGATGATTGTAAAACATTGGTAATATCAATGAAACTTGATTGTTAATTGACAAATTAATATTATTATTCCTTTTTGTTTTAGGCAGAATTCATATTAACACTTGATGAATGCGGAAAAGAATATTTAAATAATGAACAACGTTTAATTGTTTATCGTTGTTTGGCTGATTCAACTTGGTTTCTACATGAATATCATTTGGCTGAATCTTATTTTAAAAAAGTACTACATAGCTATAAACAATTAGATAAATATGATAAAAATGCGGTATCTATGCAACTATATTAAATTATTTCATAATTTTTCACACATATATATTTAGTTGGAACCTGATTGGACTATCGAATGTAAGTATCGTCAACATCTATGTTTAATTAAATTGAATCGACTGAAAGAAGCTCTTACTGTTGTAAGTCAAAATGCTATATATCAATTTCCTTTTTCAAAAATCAAATTTTCGTAGCTCGAATCAGTTTCATTTCAACAACGTACTGCAAAGATTCACTTAGCACTTGGTCAATGTTATCAAAAAGCTGGTGGTTCAATACAAGAATCAATCAGTGCTTATCGTGAATGCTTAAAACAAAATCCTAATACATTATCTGCTTACATCGCTTTACTCGCTCTTGGCATCAAATTAAGTGATCTTTTACATACACATCCATCAGCTGCATCTATACATCATGAAAATCAAGCTCAACAACCAACACCAGTAACAATATCACCACTAGTACGTCAACCATGGTTTCGTGCATTACTACAAGCCGATGCTTGTTCAACTAGTCGAGATTTTGCTGAATCATCAAGACTTTATCAACAAATCGATGCACAATACTTACCACAATCAACATACGTTTTATGTCAGCTTGGTTATAATCAATATTTGAATGGTGATTATGGACAAGCACTACATAGTTTACAGCGAGCACAACAAATAGACCCATTATTATTGAAACATATGGATATACTTGCATTTCTTACTTACACAGAATGTAAAGATAATTCATTCGAAAAGTAAAATATTGTAATTTTTTTCCATGCAAATTTTACTTATTTTAAATTTAGATTTGTCAATCATTTAATGTCACTTGGTGATAATCATCCTGAAACATGGATTGCTATTGGATATTATTGCTTGAAAAAAAATCACAAACCATCTCGCACAGTTTATCTTGCTCAAAAAGCTTATGCATTAGATAATACAAGAATTCAAGCATTACTACTCAAAGGTCTTGCGTTATTCAAATTGAAACGTTATTCAGATTCACTTGTTCATTATAAAGAAGCTGTTCGTTTAACACCGTATTGTTTCGAAGGATATAAAGGTGTTGTCGACGGTTATTTAGCAACGAATCGATTGAGTGATGCTAGTATGTTAATATCACAAGTACAACATTTTTTATTATATATAATACTTTCTTCATTCAGATATGTTTATTACCAATGCTGTTCGAACAAATTTAAAAGAAAACGCTCGAGCATTTACATTATGTGGACAAGTTCTTGCAAAAGAACCATCATCATTAGATAAAGCTCGAGTTTACTTAGAAAAAGCACTTGCACTTAATCCAAAATATACTGAAGCTGTTATTTCTCTTGTTGAAGTATATGGTCAATTGAAACAACAACAAAAAAGTATTGAATTGTAAGTTAAAACATAATAATATTGATAAACAGTGTAATGTGTAGATTCTTTTAAATGTTTGTGAGCTATTTATTTATTTATCTTGAATATTATTCGTAAAAGAATTATCACAGGCGTGGGGGGGGAGCGGATCCTGGTGGATCCTACTGAATCCTATTGGATACTGGTGGATCCTAGGATCCGCTTTTTCCCCCTTGAATTATCGAACAAAAGAAAAATAATTAATTCCATGACTAGTAATATGTTGAAATCTCAGAGCTAGAAAACCAATATCGATAAGAGAAAAAAAGAGAAATTATATAAGATTATCGGTCACAATAAACTGTTTCTTGGATTTTGTTTGTCTTCTTAAATATATTTTTGGGAGCATAGATTTTCGAACACAATCTAGTGTATTATTACAAATGAATGTACGTAGTTTATCAGATATGCCAAGCAGATCAAGACTTGAAGAAGAAAAAACGCATTCAAATTCTCAAAATAAAATCTCAAATGAACTTCATTTATGCATTACTAATGAAACGCACGAACTATAAATACGATGACTACTTGAATATATATTTTTTAAATTTTGCAACAATAGCACGTCTTAAGTTTAGCAGCTTGAATCGATATCACTCGTGGTTTTTTTCCAAATTTCTATCTGGTAAGAATATTGATTGGTTACGTTATATGAAAGATTAGAATTAGGCATGGACACAACTAACCGGCAGTCATAAATTCTGTCTAAATATGTACGTTTTTTTTTTAGTGATGCACTGGAATGCTTTAGTACATAGTGGTACTAGTGTGAACCTTTTGCATCAAACAGGAGACGCCGTGGGTCAACAAAGAGTACAAACTGCACATCTCTAAGTGTGTCTGCTTGAAATGATAATGTGCATAGCTATGCAAACAATAAACATAGAGAATGAAATCATATGCCTCGTAATTCAATCAAAACAGATTTTAATATCCTATGAAAACCTTCTAGTTATAAGAGCATTTGAATTCCATTAGGAAGAATTTCTTCTCATTAAATACTTCTATAGTCCATAGTTGTTTCTTTCGATATTAAACGAGAAAATGTTTTTCATTAATATTATAATATCTATGTTATTGTAGACTCAAAGAACATGTGCAAATAAATAATGATCAACGCATACGTCAATTACTTATCGAAAATTTAATGAAGTCAGGTAGTAATGAAGAAATGCTGCAACAAGTTCGCAATTATCCGTGTGAATTTTAATATTTTTAATTTTCAAATTAGTATTTCTATTTGTTTATTATAGAGGAACAACACATTTCGAACGACTTGAACGTGAAATGAATGATGATTCAAGTTTCGATGGCGGTCGATTCGATACAGGAGCGATGGGGGATCTTGATCCAATGGTAAGTTGATTTCATTTGAACAAGAAAAACAAAATATTTGCCGTTATTTATTTTAGTGTGATGATGTTATAGGCGAAAACTTTAGTGATGAAGATCTGTAGTGGGCACTGTTTGTTAAAATATGTATCTCTCAATTGTATATTAGACTTATAAATGTAATAAAAAGAAAACATATGTGATAGATATGCTTATGAGCATTCAAAAAATCAATAATTGAAATGAATACAAAAGAGCTTTTCTATAAGTATAAAGAAGATCACTGTTTTTCTTTCATATATTCATTAAAAAGGGAAAAAAAGAAAAGAACAATGGCGTATACACCATTTTGTCCTCTGTCCCTTTAAGTTATTTACCTGTTATATAATTCCTTATCTATGTGATTATGTTGTGTTCTTTCTAATCGTCTACTCGTAGATAGTTTATAAATTTTTTAAAATATAACATGGAACATGCGATTAATGACCTTGATGAACTTGCAAACCCTTATGCTATCGAACTAATTGATGTTACCGTTCGCTTAGGTAACAGAGATATTTTAAAATCGATTCATCTTACTATTGAGCAAGGTGGCATGTAAGAAACTCTCCAATCTTCTTTGCTTTAATGCTTATATTTAAATTGATATAGTTTTGCGTTACTTGGCCCAAGTGGCTGCGGAAAAACGACTCTAATACGTACACTAGTTGGACGCTTGCAGCCACTTAATAATCATAATGGTGCACGAAAACAAATATCAATTCTTGGTAAACACACGCATGCATTCGGTCAAATGGTTGGGTTTATGCCTCAAGAAATGGCATTGCATTCGACAAATACTATTGAAGAAGAACTATTTTTCTACGGACGTCTGGTTAATATGTCGAATAAAAACATTAAACAACGATGTCAATTTTTAATTGATTTTCTTGAATTGCCACATAAACAAAAATCAATCAGTACTTTAAGTGGTGGACAACAGAGACGAGTCTCATTTGCTATTGCTCTTTTGCATGAACCAAAATTGCTGATTTTAGGTATTTGTTGAGTAGATTTTGTTCTAATATTCAAATACATAATAGGACATTCTAATAATTAGATGAACCAACTGTTGGTGTTGATCCAATTTTAAGAAAAAAGTAGTACCTGTTAATATTTTAGTCAATTATATTTATACTATTCGTCTCTATAGAATTTGGCAACATCTTACAGAGATCACGATGAAAAATGATGTAACTGCTATTTTGACAACGCACTATATTGAAGAAGCTCGACAAGCTAATATAGTAAATATTGAAATTAGTCTATTATGATCTATAATATGTATTGTAGATATCTTTTATGCGACATGGTTATCTATTGGAAACCGGTCATCCCAATGATTTAATATTGAAACACGAACAACAAGTTGTTGAATAGAAATTCTTTTCTATTTCATTTGAGAATATTTGTATTCTAGACTCTTGAAGCTGTCTTTCTTGAATTATGTGAAGATCGTCATAGACTAGAAATACAATGTCAGACACAAGAGAAAGTTCATGATCATAAATCTTTAACTATAGCAAATAAAGTAATTCAAATAAAAAACTGATTTGAATAATGTTAGCTATTATTTTTTTTAAAGATTTGCCACTCTTGTCAATCAGTCACATGTTCATGTTGTAGTAAGTAAAGCAAGTTTTATTATAATTTGTAATAGTTACTGTTCTATTAGTGAAAAAATCATGTTGTCTTACGCGTCGTTCTTGTGCCCGTCCATCTCTTGGTCGATCTCTATGTGCTCTTCTTATAAAAGATATTCTTAAATTTCAACGAAATCCATTGTATCTATAAATATAACATAATATTTGGATTAATCAGTTTTTAAAATTATTCTAGTATGTTGATCATACAATTTCTGGTGCCAATTCTTCAAATTGCTTTATTTTGTTTATGTGTTGGACGAAAATTAAGCAATATTCCGTTTGGATTTATTTCACGCGAAACTATTGGCTCCAGTTCTGCCAGTGAATTAATATTGAATAAAATTGATAGAAATGTTTTTAAGATAGTAAAAGACATAAATTGAAGAATAATTGCTCAGTCAACGATTATTTTTTTAAATTCTATGCAGATTGAATATAAGACGATAGATGAAGCTCAACGATTATTTGATGTAGGATATTTATCAGGAATTATTAATATTGGTGAAAATTTTAGTCGGGAACTTATTGAAAAAACAACACATTGGTAAGAGTGATAGTGTTTCTGTATAGAAATCAGTTAACATCAATATTATTATATTTAGCTCATTTTCTAACGTTAATAAATATAATGATTCTCAATTCACAATGTATATGGATCAAACAAGTAAAACATAATATTTGCTTTACAAATAGACATATTTTTAAGGCTAATCATTAGATCGACAAATGGTTTATACAATAGCTGAAGAATTTGTTCGAATTTTTAAAACTATTGATACTGATTACCATCTTGGATTTTTTACATCTACGCCTATGAATCAAGAGTCATTGTTTAAAGTAGATTATATTATTTGTTTACTTATAAAATACATATTCATAGTGATAAATATATCAGCTAGCGCAATTTCACAATAATCTACCTGAAATTGAATATACTTTTACCCATTTTATGATACCTGGTATTGTTCTTTCGTAAGGTTTTCCTATACATGTTTTGATTTATGAATCGTATATAGATTTATATATATATATATATTTTTTTTCTTTTTATTAGAGTAATTTTTTTCTTTAATGTTGCTCTTACTGCTCTCTCACTTGTGACTGAACAAAGCGATGGAACACAAGAACGTGTATGGATCACAGGTGCTCCTAAAAGTATAATCTAGCTTAAAGTATAATATTCTCTTTGTTTTTTTTCCTTAAGGTGTGAAGGCAAATGAAATCATTTTTAGTCAATTGATAATTCATTCAATGATACTTATTATTCAAATAGTAATTGTTTTATTCACTTCTTTATATGTTTTCGAGGTTAGAATTCATTTATTTTTTGTACTGAAAAACTATAATTTCCTGTTAGATTCCATCAAGAGGCAGTCTACTTTATCCATCATTACTATGTGTGATACAAGGGTTTTGTGGTATGACCTTTGGTAAGATAAATCAAATATTTCATAATAATGCTTTTGCACTATATAGGTTGAATTACTTTTATGCTAATCAAATGTATACTCTCTTACAGGATTAGTTATTTCAACAATTTTCACAACAGAAATCAATGCTCATCAAGTTACTATGTCTATTTTCTATCCTGTGTTACTCTTGAGTGGTAATTAAAAATTGAGATTATAAAAATAAATCAATAACTACGTCATTTTAGGCATTGTATGGCCACTTGAAGGGCAACCGATTTGGATGCGAACAATCACAGAATGGCTGCCAATGACAAAAGCAATTGATGCTATGCGTGGTATATTATTAAAAGGTAAAATTGTGCTGGTTTATTTATTAATAATTTCATTGTTTTTGTTTGTGTCTAGGATGGGGTATTCAGCATTTAGTTGTTCAACAAGCGTTTTGGATTACATCTATTTGGTCCATGTTTTTTCTTATTTTAACACTTTTTATTTTTAATTGCCGTCGTTTATAATATTTGCACAATTGAATTTAGCCTTAACATTTTTTTATTTTGCAATCAAAAGAATATGAACTAGCAAGATATTTTATTATGATATGCTTTATTTTAACTTTGTTTTTTATATTAGCTTTAGTGATATTTGAATTTCGACTAACGGAATAATTTTTGATTATATAACATTTGACGTTCTGTTTATATTCTTTTTTGAACTAAAGATAGATAAAATAAATTTTCACTTTTTTTCCATTGTAATAGTTTGCTGGTGCTGATATAATTTTCCTATGGAAAAACTTACGTATCAAGAGACTAGATGGCCCAGGTATAAAATGAACAGAAATTTGAATCCTAGCACCATTGTACATGATTAAAATATTCAGAACATATTGAAGAAGCTATACTGGATTTCTCAGCGCTACCTCATAACCTTCTACTAGACACATTGCGAAAATATCTAAAACATGATCATTTTTTCATAGTAGTGCTTTTATATATAGAAATAAAAGACTCTTGACTGAAAACGAAACATGCAAATGGTATGCTTCATCGTTCGAGCAAATAAGAACAATGAACTTCCTTCGAAAAGTCTGAGATGACATAGAGCAAGAAAACATAAAACGAGAGAAAGAAGAAAACTATATTTTTCAAGTAGATGATATGAATATATCGTCATAAATTTCAGTCAAAAGAATGAGATGTTAACTCAAAAATCATGTGTTTTAATGAAAGGCAAGCCATTATACTACTCAAAAGTTTTTCTAAACCAAGATGTTTTTTTTCATTCTACAACTTTTTATTAAGTAGCATCAAATTATTTACTAATATGATCAAATAGTCAAATATTCTATTGTTTATATTATTACAAAATTGCAATTTATCATCATTATGTTTTTTTTTCCATTTCGATCGGCATATCAGCAGTCCAATCGTATGTACCATGATCTCGTTCTTTTACAGCTATTTTCCATCCAGCAGTCTCCGATCGACGTTTAAATACAAGGCCCTCTGGTGAATGACGTGCAATGCCATCGAATAATGTAGCAAACATTTGAGATGTTCTTAAACCCATACTTTCTAATGTTTGATTAATCACTAGTTTTTGCATGACAAGTTGATTTATTGGCACTGTAGCCATTCGCTGAGCTAATTTTTCGACTTCATCATTTAATTGTTCTTGTGGAACTGATTTCAATACAAGTCCAAGTTTTTCCGCTTCAATACCATTAATTTTATCACCAGTCAGTAACATTCTTTTAGCTTTTTCTATACCGAGTCTAAAATATGATCCTCTATAATAAAAAGAAAAAACACAACAATTTTTCATTCTTATTTACCTATATATCCACATAGCTGTTGTTGGACAACCCCATACTCTAGCTGGCATATAACCAATACGTGCTTCATTAGCCATTAAAATAATATCACAACATAAAGCAATATCACTACCGCCAGCTAATGCATCACCATGTATTTTACAAAGTGTAGGTTTAGATGAATGAAATAGAGACATAAAATATTCTGTGTTTTTCTTCATAGATGTATAATCTTTCATTGAATCCCATGGCATTTCTTGTACAGCATTTTCATTTTTATTTTGTGCATAATACGTCAAATCATATCCAGAACAAAATGCTTTACCAGCACCAGCTAGTATAATGACATGCACCGATGGATCATCATTTGCTTTCGCTACACATTCAGACAATTCTTTAGGCATTGAACCATCGATTGCATTTAAAACCTCTGGTTTATTTAAAGTAATATAGGCTAACCGATTTTTAGTTTCATAATTAATTGTTGAAAAAGGTTTAAATTGATGATAATTTATATCTGATTGTGTAGAAATCGTTAAAAATGATTGACACAAAAGTTTAAATGATTTGCCTGATACTATATTATTTGCATTTGATAAAGTTGATAATTTTCCATGTAACGACAATTTAGTTAAAAATACAGACATTATTTGATTATGTATATTAGATTGAAAGTTGTGTTTGTTTGTGAATGAGAACTTAGGAATCTAAAATATTTATATATGTGTTAGAAATATGTGTATACTTGAATAAAAACAGTGTAGTTTCAGTTTTCAGATCTCAACCTATTAGTCATTCTTTTATTGTCGTTTCGTTTTCTTTCCGTGATAATCTCTATTAAATAAAATAGTACAAATTCAAAGACTCTGATAGAGTATCTATTCAAATGTTTTGTTATTGAAAGTATTCGCGTGTGACAGGAACAGGATGAACTCAGTCCATACCGAACGATTGCATGGATTAGAGTGAGCTCAGACTATCATGAACCTACTCGAAATTATACCTTTCAAGTAATTGTAAGATTAACATTTTTTATCATTAGAAAATTGATCAGATTGATCCCAATATAGTTGATCCAACCAAGTTTTAATGATATACTTGCTATTCGTTTTCACTTCGTTTGTAATTGATTCATAACCACAAAATAATTTGGACCAGTCTAGTATTATGTGGACAAACCAATTGCAAATGAGTATGAAAACGTAAAAAGATGATCTGCGCCTATGCGTACATTAACGACATTTTACAGTATCATAAAATAAATAAATGCGGAAACATCGGATTTGCATCCGATTGTTATGTGTACTGCAAAAACTGAGTCGATTTATATATGTTGTGAATAATACTGAGAAAAAAGAAACTTTAAAAAAAAAACTCTGTACCCTCCCTCAGGGATGGTCTAGTCAATAATGACAATATTTTTAATTACTCAGCCATTTCTTGACGGATCCTTCTCATCTTCGAACTCGACTGAGATATTGATGAGATCATTCTGTGTACAAAATTTCATGACAACCGGATCAGCCTTTCACGAGCTATCGTGTAAACGGTCGGACACACTGACTGATTCTATAGTGTACTCACTTTTGTTTTTTGAGTACAGAAAAAGACAAATAAAAAAGTATATTTTGATTGAAAGTAGCTGAAACGTACTGATGGTTAGTTAACTCAAGTGTGTTTTATATCTCAGCTTCGAAAGAACATAGTTACCAAAGAAATGATGTAGATTTGAATATGAAAAATATCGATGTAATCGTTATTCAATCTGCGAATTTCTCTATTAACGAACAAGTTTCTTGATTTCTACATTCATTGAAAATGATAACACGATAGAACTCGAGGCAATTGTTTCTGAATGAAACGAATACCATGTTTTGTTAAATTTATTTTTTGGAAAAATAAAAAGTTAAAACAAAATCCAAAAGATAAAATGAAATAGATTTTGTGCAAATAGAAACTTTACTTTCAATGTAACAACACGTATGTTATCAATAACAATAGCATTCATTAAGATATTTGAAAAATAAAAATCTAATATATGTACAAAGAAATATTCACACAATAAGTTTAACACAATTCAAACTTTTCTATTGTTTCCAATTGATTTTTATTGATTGTTTCAAAATCATTTTCTTCTGTTGTTTTTAAATTTAAATCGTCACTTGTTTTTGTGGTCGCATTACATACTAGTGAATCAGAACGACTCGATAAATTAAAATTTGATTCCATGTTTACAATAGGCAGATTTAACTTAGTACATACATCACTACATACATGTGTACGAAAAAATTGACGCATACCTTTTGGACCAAGATTAGTTCGTGTTTCTCGAAAACGTAATAAATCACTGCAATGCAATGCTGGATCAGTCAGTAAGTATGCACGATCTACTTTAACACCTTGTAGATCGACAACCATAAGACGACCCGAAGTTTTATAATATGTCCAATGCGAGAACGCTTGTAAGACTGTTGAATATTCATTTAGAGATACTCCGCCACTATTATTATTCCATTTATGCCATTCGTGATGCATGCGTCGTTCGACTTGATAGATTTTCGACGGGTCTACTTGCTGTTGAATGAGATCAGCATCGGCATATGCAATTGGTATGAAATTTCGAAAAATACGTTGTTGTTCAGCATTAAATTGCTCAGCTAAGAATTGAGCAATCGCTTGTATTTCAAGATGTTCTTGATAGACAATAAATGTGTTAGCTTTCGTATCTGTACTAGCAAGTTCTTTAAAAACAACATCGACAAAAGGAGAATTATCACTAGAATATTGACCATAAAAAGCAAAACGAAGTGATCCTTTAGCAAATGGATGTGGTGCAATTTTTATTTGGCCAGTTGTTTTACTTAATAATAAAGGATGAAAAAGATCATCTATTGCGTGTGGTGAAATGATTTCAGTAATATTAACGTCATGTATTTCCAATTCATTCCAATTAGGTTCTTTACTAAAAAGCATATAGAGCTTAATTGATTTATTTCGATTATGATAAGATGATATGGTTGCTTTAATACTAGTCTCAATAAGAGCACTTGTTTTTTCAATGATACGTTTGATTAGACATGTTGGATCGCTTACATGAAGTTCACATATTGATCCAAATATAAAAGAAAATTCTTCAAACATTTTCTTTGTACTTTCATTTAATTGAATATTGCTGTACGTTATACCTAGTCGCTTGATATTTAGCATTAACTTTGACAATTCACGATTCTGTGGATCACCTTTAAGATAAGTATCATTTTCTGTTCCTTGAAATTCATGATAGTGTTGTCCATGACACGGTGCATCACAAATATGAACTAATAAACGATTTGGATTCGACCATGAAAGTTGGGCAACTGATTCCAATCCACCTATGTAATGAAAGAGAAACAAAGTTAAATACTTTAACTCATTGATAAATAAATCAGTCAAATGAAACAATTCAATATTTTATTTTGATACTTATTTTCAGCTTATATCTCAAGCATTACATGTTTTCTCTCTCTCTCTTTTCTCTCTCTTTCTCTCGATAAATGTATGAATGTGTTTTAAATTATGAAGAATGATTATTTTAATAAAAATCTTTGTAGCTATTTTCTTTTTTCAAAACTTACTAAATACATCTTCACATGTATCATCGCCACCTTTTGCTTGTACTTGATGAAGATACTCTCGAAATATATTTTCATCATTCGTAAAATCAAGTATTTCCAAACTTTCATTTATATCTCGATATCCAACAAAGGCAAGATGAGGCTTAATAGAATATAATTTCAAAATCGTTTCTGTAAGTTGATGAATTTGAGTTTTAGTTGCATCAACATATTTCCTCATACTTCCTGTACAATCCATTAGAAAACATAAGTCAACCGCTGATTGCACTTTCGAAACTTTAAGTATTTCGTCAATTTCATATTTTCGTTGAATAAGTTCTTTTGAACGTTGATCGGCAATATTTTTCTTGACAACAGCCAAGCCATCAACTGTATTTAATAATGATGACCAAGTTTGTATACGTATCAATGCTTCTTTAGTCGATGTAAGTGTATGATGTAAAGATATATTATTCGGGTCTTTACGTAATTCAATTATTTTATTTTTAAAGTCCATTGAAAGACGATTAAATTCGGCATCTAAAGCATCAATGTCAATATCATTCGGTGAAACTAATGTATTTTCTATATCCCAATCGATTGTTGGTGCAGACATACGGTGACTACGTTTGATAAAACGAATCGAGTCAACTGTATCTTTCGGGATACCATCGTCTGATATGAGAGAGGCTGTTGTTAATGAAGTTGAATAAGATCGATTCATTTGCTAGGAAGATCAGAAAATATTATTTAACTGCAGAAACTAAGACACAACAGAATATGATGTAATAGATTTTTTACAAGTTATTATCCTGCAGAAAAAAGATAAGAATTTCTAAAAGAAATGATTGTAAACTATATATCTAATTCCTTGTTGTGTCTACGTATTTCTTGTTTGTACGTAGACAAGCATTTTTTTATTTAGATAATCAACTTAAAGAAAGAAAAAACGTAACCATTTTCCTAATATAACCTTTCACGATTTGAATAAAATTGTTTTTTCTGATGTCTAGTAAACGCAATCGGCATGATTGTAGATTGATTGAAACAAGTAAAAGAATATAATTGTATCCATTACCACCGTGACATGAAAATTATATGCGTATGTCTCTTTTTTTAAGTGAAAGTAAACGATTTCCTCGAGTAGGTATGTACCTCTCCACCCCTTTTGTCATACCGTTTTTTACTGTTAACAATATTAGATGAGAGTTTTTATGTAGATTTTAAGAAAAGAAGAGTAGAAAAAGCTATGACGAAGATATACAAGATTTAATCGAAAGAATAGAACATTGTTTCGAATAAACAAAGATAAAATTGTTATTCTTACATAATATTTAGATAAAAGTGAATCCTTTATTAAGTGAATGAAACATGAAAATTTAACTTGAAGTTTCAATCGAACCTAGTTAGTTACACATAGCATTCATATCAACTTGATTGAAAACAAATCGAATGTTCTCGCTTGTTCGCTAGATGACAATGATAAGAATAAAGGATGCGTATGTCAAGTTTTTTTTGCCTCTGTTTTTTATCTCTTATAAACAATATTTAGCAAAATATGACAATAACTTGAATAAAAGGATCTTTTAGACACGTGAGTAGAATAATTGTAGCAAAGAGTTGAGTAAGAACGTGCGAGTCACATGAATACATGCGTATGACTATAATCATTAGATATAAATAGATAAAATGAGACAAATGATATGAAATTATTTATTATACTTAACGATGCATTGGGTGTAAGCTATTAGCGTTGACATAGATTTTTCTTAAAATTTTGAATAATAAATATATTTTATGATTTCCACATTTTCTTATGTAAAAACCGAATGGAATACTTTTCTATGACACAAATATATTAATAAAAAATTTTCATTTTTCGCTTCATTTTTTATTTCCATTCTAAATGAATGTTTCGATAATTTAATCCAAAACAGATTGATCAAATTCTATTATATTTAGTAAAAGTTGATACTCTGATTTTTGTTGAATCTTATTTCTTTTCAAACCTTATGACTTAACATCTAAGATGATGTTTTATGGCATCATGAGATCAATTTTTATTCTAATTAATAAAAATAAATGATTAAAAATAAATATAAAAGATATAGCATCAGATAAAAATAGAATTATTGAGTATAAATTGGTATATGAATTTATTTAAGAATCTTTTTTGCTGTCATTTTCTTCAGTATTCGTATCAGGAGTATCCCATTCATGTAATAATTCAACACTTTTTATATATTGACGTGAGAAGACATCTAAATATTAAAAAATTATTTAAAAAAAACATAGATGATGATGTTACCAATATAAAATGAAGCGCCATTATAAACGCTGACTGTAAACATTGAACAAAGAAAGATGACATTCACGTACCTAGAATGAAATTTTATTCAATACTGACTCACTGTTCAATAATTCTGCTCTACGAAAGCAAGTGGTTTTCATTTTTGGAATACGAAAAATCTTCGAAATATTTAACTATCGTATTTTCAAATAAGAGAATTTTGCAAATATTTGCTAATGACTGTCACCATTAGACTTTGAAAATTTTCTGATATGAAATGATATTTTCCTATCGAAATTGGCTCTGACGCATCTATTTAGCTTGAAATGATAAACTATTTGTTTTGTTATAGCATAACAATCTGCGTAGCAACTCACATATGTTGATAATAAAATAATGAAACTGGCAAAATTGAAATCAGCACGTATAAAAATTGTAAACAAAAATACACGAAAATCTTATATCGATTAATTCCATCATTGGGCCCTCCAAAGCCAAGCTTTTGTATAAGCTGTGAAGCGAAACCTTTTTTATCAGCTAATAACCATGTATACGATGTCACTCTTAATCCACTTGCAACTTTCTTACGGCGCCCGTAAATAATAAATGCGCAATACAATATTTGCCATATCAAATAAAAACCTATTGTATAAAAAATAGATGAACCCATCGGAAGGGTTGAACCAATATTGGGAATAGCTGGATAATGTTTTATTTGCAAATCAACTGGTAAAAGCCAACGAAGAGTAAACATAGTTAATACTGGATACCTAATAAAATAAAATAAAAACAAAAACGATTGAAAACAAAATCATTATTGCAGTAAACTTATATATTTACATATGAATGAATATGCTAGTTACTTTATCAAAACCTAAAACAGTGGAAAAAATTCTTATTTTTTATTAATGTTTTTAACTTTTGATCATTCAAAACTAACTATGGAAAACAAGAGAATTTTTCCAAAGAACTATTGCAAGGGCCAATGGACCATGAGTTAATGTATAGCAAACAGAAAATAGAATTTTCGATGATGGGAAAATCCATAAGTAGATTAATGTTAAAAGATTAATAAAATAACATAAATCAAAAACTAAATATAAAATTTGAGAATAAACATCAATTTATTAACGAAATCTTACCAAAATAATGCCAATGTTTACGTTTATAAATGAAAAATCTTACTGATATGAGACATAGTGCTTGTATTGTGTAAATCATCGGTAATATATGAGGCCATCGTCCAGCTAAAAATTGAAGAATAGTGTTGGAGAAAAATATGAAGTACGATTTAGTTAACACTGTAAATTGCGTTTTTATGCGATTTATTTAGAGGCATGTGTCTTCATGTTCTTTTTACTCAAACCTTCATAAATGTCTCACAGAAATTTTGGCAAAATGTCATATCATACCAATTAATGGAGAAAAGCAAGCATTTGCGACTCCAATAGTAAATGTAATTTTATCTCTTGTTCGAATAAAATTTGGTTTTTTAAAATTTTCCGATAGAAGATGAATATGATTTTCCAATTGAGTTTTAAGTAAACGCTTTTGTTCTTCGACTTCTTCTTTTGTTCGTAGCCATCTTTGTCGAGAATCTTCTTTACGTTCTTCAACTAGAAAACAAAGAGTTTAAAAACAACTTTTTTAAACGATAGATCAACGTTTTATTTTATTGGTGTACTTTGATGTGTTATAGAATCGATTTTATCGGCAACCATTTCCAGAAAATCATAAAAATCGAGGTCATCATTGTTATTTTCTTCTTCTTCGTCTTCTTCTTCCATATGATTACTATTGTTGTTCTCAGACATATCTAAAAGAGACTACGTCTAATCTAATGCAGATATTTTTTATGGTAAAGAAAATTCTAAGTTGGATTGTATCTGAGAACAGAAAAATCGTCACACGAACACATAAAATTCAACAATAAAAAAAATTTGGAAAAAATTTATCTGAACGCAGATTATGTATCATTATTGAGATCAATAAAACCTACACACATAGTTTCCTGTCCAATTAATGCAATACTAGATGAAGATGAAAATGTATTCCACTTAATTTCATCAATCAGATGTTTTGATGATTCATCTGGCAAATTAATACAAGATGCACCCTGTGGTGACCATATATAAACACGATTATTATGTGTACATAATGCTAAATGATCACGTTTAGGTTCCCATTTAACACATCGTATCGGTTGAAGTTGTATAAGAACAAAAGCTAAACGAAATGTTGGTTTAAAATCAAATATAAATAAAAGATTTGGCATTGTGTCATTGATAGTTGCTACATATCGACCTGAGCATGAATATTCGATGCATGATACACCTAATCGAGGATTAGCACGATCAAGATCAGGTTTGATTGGAGCTATTTGTAGTGTACCATTATAAATAATATATTTTGATTCGATCGAAGAAATTTTTTCTGTTTGTGATACTGTCGATGATGAATAAGCAGAAGATGAATATGGTTTACGTTGGCTACAATAGAAAATTCAAATAAATTTCCAGCCATATCTTAAAGACGTACAATGATTAATAGTGAAAGTGCAGTTAAATTTTTGGTACCGAAGCAAAACTGAATTTAGAGTATGAAAATTTTAATTCCATCGAATCCGAATTCAAGCTACTATTAGTAAAATATATTGCTTTTTAGAATAGAATCACGAAAATATTTTCTTTCAATGATTGATTCAAATATAAATATTTCATTTTCGAACGACGAGAAATGTACAATTTTGCATAAAATCTTCATTATTAAATCTACTGCTAGTTTTCAGTAGTCACTAACGTAAGCTCAATGTCTACTCTCTTGTTTATTACCTAAGAGGACTCATAGAATCACGTTGACTGTATGAACGTTCGATTTAAAATAAAACTTAAAATTTATGAGAATTTCCAATAAAACAAAATCAGTTTTACAATGATTTACCTTTGGTCTGTCTTTTCTTGTCCATCAGAATTATATTCTTCTTCTTTTAGAATTGCATAACCTTTGCCTGATGATAGTTTTTGTGGATGTTCAAATGGTTCTTGAATCTTTTTATATGTTAAATAACTAAAAACAGTGATACGTTCTTCATAATCTCCTACAACAATAACTTGTCCTGTTGGTGACCATCGCGCACAACGTATACCTAATGATAAACGATCATTTTCTTGTTTATATATATTTAATAATTGTCCATCGAGTGTATAGAAAACTATTTTATATTCATAAGAATTTTCCCATAAACATAAAACATCAGCTATTGGTGACCACTCAATACCTTGAAGATCTTCTAATTCACTTGGTTGAAAATGTGCAATCATTGACCAATTGGATGAATAATCAAATATTGATATATGATCTGTACTATCATTACGACGTTCAACTAATGCCATATATGGTTTTAATGAACTAAAAACATATGAACTAGGTAACAGCTTTTTTGGATATTTTATATAAGAAACATTTTTTGATGTCAACGACCACACTGTTATACGTAAATGAAATTGTGCTGTTGTTAGTATATGTCGAGAATCTGGTGCCCAATGTACATTACAAAGACCAGCAGAACCTTCATCAATTTTACATTTCCATTCCGGATTATCTAATGAAAATATCTGAACAGCATTACGTTTTATTAGGCCAGCTGAAATCAAACGCGAATCATATGACCATTCAATGTTTTCTATTGTATCAATACAAGCAAATAAATTTATTATTTCTAATGTTGTTGATGAACGAATTATTAAACGATATTGATTAACACTTGCTAAATATTCACCATTGGGAGAAAACGAACATTGACGAGAAGTTACTTTGAATAATTCACTAAAATTCATCTAGAAATGGGAAAAAAACGACATAGATTATTTTTAATAACGCTTAGAAGAAGAACACCATCATCAGACTGATGGCAAAATATGATTCAAGACGCATATCATTGTATAAGACAACACACCCACACCCACACCTTCAAATTAATGTGATTAGTAGTAGATCATTCATAAATAAAATTTATCACATATTGGTAATAAGATTTTTTTCTTCTCGCAAGTCTTATTTTGTCGAATTATTTTTTGAATACGCATATCTTAGAAAAAACTCTCACTAAGAGATACATTTGTTCTGAAATTTAGTGCAATGATAGGATTATTGACATAATTGGTATCAAAAAGTTAGTTATGCAAAATGTGCTGACGATATCTTATCGACGAGTAAGTCTTTTTTATCCATCTGTAATTAGTTGAAATCAAAAAAAACTATGCATATTTCTTAATGTTAAATCAGCTTTTTTTACCCTGACAATGATCTGAAAAAAATTAATGAATAACCTTTCCATAAATTCTACAAACTCTGTTGACAATTCATTGTTGGAACGTCTTTTTTCGATTTTAATGATGTTGCTTCTAACATATCTTGTAAAAATTTCGCCATTTCCAATTTAACTTTTAATTATTTGTTCAATTGTTCTTTCTATAAAAAAATACAAATATAATTGGAACTGATCAAATTTAGCATAAACAATATACATTCATACTGCTTTATCGGCTTCTTTAAATGTATAAGGCAACATATTGGGAAAAAGTTCTTAAAAAAATTGGTAATAATGAATGCAGAAAATGATACAAGCCGAAATAAATCAGCGGCGGTTCGAGTAAAATAAATCGAAGAATATTAGACGAGAACAACTATTATTTTATGTTTTCAAACTACTTGTTTTCGTTGGCATCGTGTTAAATTATGACCATCTAAAATTTGTCTTAAAAGACGAATTGCAATTGTTGTTTCAATACATAATAATTTAAAGCCATTATAATAATGTTTTAATACAGTAATAAAACGCTACTAAGCAGATTTATGCTTAGCAATTTTTGATTCATTAGCTGTAGGAATTAATGAAACTTCCGATCGAATAATTGGAACAGTTGTTGGTAATGATGCTGCTGATTCGGTTTGTTTTTCATTAATTTGATCTTTTTCAATTGAATTAAAAGTAGTATTTTCTGTTCTTGACTATACATTATAGAATAGTGAAGATGAATGGAATGTACGAATGTGTGCTAATGGCAACAGTAAAAAACGATTCGAATCAATCACTAGTATACCTTTGCCATAGGTATAATAATGTATGTATATATGGCCTTCGTCTTGATACAACTACTTATCATTCAATTAAACACTATTTACTATTTTTATAAGCAATTATTTTATTTTTTGATGAAATATTCTTTTTCAAGATAGCGATGGACTAGTTTTTGAAAGTATGAAAATTCCTAGCATACGTATGGACGATATCGACAAAAATCGATTACTAATTTGAGTCATTTTCATTCGATCCACTATAGACAATATAATATACATAGAAATAGTTTCGTGAAAAATATATACATCTAAAATGAATCAGATTATTGAAGAAAACATATGTCAGTTTTGTATTATTTTGACAAGTAGTAGATTAATTTTCATATAACTAAATAAAGTTTTCTTTAAAAAAGCCAAACAAATTAATGAATTGATTTCCTATGTGTAGGAATAATTGAAGTGATTGATTGATGATCGATATACAATGACTAGTTGCAAAAATAGCAAAGATTTCAGCTGCATTACTAATTCAAAAGTATGGCGAAGAACTTTTAGTAACCTTGTGTATTTATTGGCGGAAAATGAATCGAATAAATCTTATTGGCCCCATAGAGTAGAGTAATGCATTAAAAAAGTTGTAAGATTTCTAGTTGAACATACATATCTACTCTGCTACGTGACCCAGGCGACGCACTCACACGCCACATTTCATAAATCGAAAGTTTGACAGGTGGCGCTAAAATTATAACCACTAGTAGTGTTTCCAATGGAAATCTAGAACAAGATGTATGTACACTTCGCTTTTAGCGCCAAAGTGTACAGAGTGTATCAAAAGCAAATTTTAAAAATCTAAAAAGCACAAAATAATGTTGTTCTTTTTTCACAAAAATATAAACTAATCTTTGATAAATGAATAAATGATATATAGATGTACTATCTCATAATCTGACACGTTTCGTGGCAAAATTACAAAAAAAAAGGTTTTCACAAAAACAAAAAGTTAATATATCTTTTTTTCTAATAGTATATTCTAAAAATATGAATTATTTTCGTCTTCATCTTGATCATGATACAAAAAAGGATGTAGAGAATTTTGCGGATTCTAACGTGTGCCCCATAAAGAATGACCCTCTCAGTATTTTCTCACCAACTTCTTTATTTATCAGCTTTCCGGCTTCAATTTATGTTCTAAAGATCCACCATCCAATTCTACACAAAACTTGCATCAAAATCTTTTCTGAAGAAAGTCGAACAGAAAAGTAAAATAGTAATACTGAACAAATAGAAAATAACTAACTTTCAAAGCTATTTTGAAAATAAACTTCAGAAGATTTTTTTACAATACTAGAATCAAGAAAACCAAAGTCAAGAGGCTTTCGAGTACTTTCAAGTTTGATCTTTTTTTCCTACAGTGCAACTTTGGTTTGAATCAAATTCTAGAATAAGAAATCTGACTTTCTATAGTAGGATTCAAAATGTCCAAAACTCACTATTTTTTGCCAAAGGATGAGAAGAAGTACGCTTAGATTAACTGTCGTCTGTGTATCTGATATAATAGTCACTTTTTGTCGAAATAAGGAAAATCTAAACCCAAAAGATGTTATTTTGACTTATTCACGCCTCTTTTTTCAAAAGCTCCGAAACTGCAGTTTGAAACAGCTAAATTCTCACAAATCTGGAAAAGATATTATTGGTGAACGTCACAAGAATGAGCATATCCATTTTTCAATTAGAATCGTTCGATAGAGCTTTTTGAGGATTACAAAATGCTTATGTTACTCTATCCTTTTTTTTATCGTTAATAGCTTAATAGAAAAATCGAAAAAACCGGTTTTCAGATTTGAAAGTTGATTCTTGTGTATGCGTTCAGTATTATTGTTTTCTGTTTTTGCTCAACTTCCTTCAGAAAAGCGTTTCATATACGTCTTACGTAGAATTAAATAGCAGATCTTTTGGAAACAAATTGAAGCCTAGAAAATTAAAAATGAAAATGTTATCGAGGAAACATTGCGAAGGTCATTCTTTGTGGGACACCCGTTATATCGTAAGTACACGAGATAATTTATGAAATTTCGTTTGTTGTGATAAATTTTAACTGTAAACATTGAACAAGGGATCTTTGCTTTTTCTGACTTATGCAAATAATTCTTCTATTTTGATAGCTATTAATCGCCAACCCTAATAGGTCTGTCCTTGTTCGCATTCATAGTGTTTGCTGGTCATAATAGAACAGCTATGCTTCTTTCAGAATCGGTATTCCTTTTCTATCAAACACAAGATTAGAATCTATTTTAAAAACTACTTTACTGCCATTTTGAAAACATGAGCACCGAAAATCAACTGAAAACTCTATAAAATGTGAATGTATTGATATGTGCGAGTAAGAGATACTAAAATATTTTCTTCGTAAGAATTTAATTTTAATTAAGCGAAGCATTTTTATCATATAATGGGGTCGTGTTGACTTTGTTCTGTTGTTAACAATAGCAGAAGGTGAGAATCTGTTTTAACTACAAAAAAATCATTTGTTTTTCTTAGCTCTTTAAACTCGCATAGTTTTCTATTCAGATAAAAAAAAAGAGTAGCTATTTGCGTAGGTTCACATAAGCACAATAATAAAGCCAGCACTCTCCAACTATTCTTTTTGCTACACAGATTAAGTAGACAGTAAGTTATTCGTAATAATAACAGGACGTAGAATTTTACCGGTGACTTGATCCATCTAAGTTCGTTACTGGAAAACATTAATTTATTCATATGTTTCTCTTCCCTTTCAAGAGGAAATCCATTTGTTCTGTGCACACAGGAAGGTAAGAACAACGAAGAAAAAACTCAGGAACTCTAATCTTGCAACTGAGAAATATTTAATCATTGATTCAAACTTTTAAAGTTATGCTGTTACTGCGTATATCGTTAGTTTTCATCTCTTGTACTTCGATTCATAGTGATTATTCATTATTTCATACTAATATTCGTCAACTGCCCTATCTAACATTCGATTGTTTATATGCTTATTTAGTTGATGGTGGCAGAGAAATAGGTGGAAGTTATATTCGTAATTATCATTTAATTCCATACTGTAGACGCCCTGATAATGACAAAGAATTGGAACAAGAATCTCACCTTAACCATGAGAATATAGCACAACGGATAAGTTTTGATGAATTGAAAAAACGAAATGTCACAAGTGAACAATTACTCGCATGGCTTGCACCAATTGATGTTGCAGAAAAATATGAAATGAATAATGATAGTTCAGATATTTTTTATCAATGCAAATCACCATGGTTTGGTCCTATGTGTCAATATAAATTCGGTCATAGTGTATCGATATCGTTCAGTGATATTGTTGAAGCTACTTTTAACAATTATTCGAAAATCATTGAAAATGTTACGACAGGTTCTTGCTATAGATTCTTAGATAATTGCAACCAAGAATTGTGGCCTCGATGTCTCGATTGGCGAGAAATTTGTGATGGGAAAACTGATTGTTTGAATGGAGAAGACGAACGTTGGTGTGATCAATTAGATATGACTAAATGCAGCGATCTTGAATATCGATGTCATTACGGTGGTCAATGTATTCCAGCAGAATTTGCTAAAGACAACAGAATAAGTATTGATTGTCTAGATGGTAGCGATGAGCAAGAGGAGCATTTTCAATTTAGTTGGTTGATCTATCCCCAGTGTACGAATATTCAAACATTTCAATGTCAGGAACGTACTACTCGATACCCTTTCTCGTTCTCATGTGGTGATGGTCAATATTTATCGTCCTTTGATTTGCCTAATCTCATACGTAGCTGTTCGAATTATCGAGATATAGAATTCTCACGTTCAATCCTTACTTCGCTAGATCATATCTCAAACATTGACTGTCGTGATGCATTTCTATGTGCTATGTACTCCAATCGAACACAAAATACAGGTAAGCATATATTTAGAGAAAGAAAATAAAACTGATGAGTATATGAAAATCACTGTTCTCTTGTATTCAATCGATCACTTAAGAGAATATACCGAATAATCTCCAATTTTCAGTTTTTAAAGCTTATTAAAAGTCTTCATTTTTCAAGTGTTAGAATAAAGTTATATGAGACAATCTCACTAAAAATCTCGATACACATGTCCCTCAGTCTCTACTTGTAAAAACCAAATGATTCATTTTAGGGCAGCCTAATCCTGCAGACCTAGGACCGTTTGAATCGATTATTGATCATGTTTGGAACGAAGGTTGTCAACCGTTATCTCAGCATTGCATGATGGAATGGATCGTCATACCCGAAAATCCGACAATGTTTGGATTTTTTCAATTCGTTTATTTGACAAATCGATCGACAAGTGAATTTCAAGCAAGTCCTGCACCTGATTTTATTTGTTTCGATGCACAACGATGTCCTGTATTATTGGCTACGATCACCTCCATTAATATAGTTAATGGTCTTACATGTTGCCATATTTCTAATCTAATAGAATATGTCGAATATATGGACTTTTATCAATTACTATCAACGTTCCTGAATTTTGGTCGTAAATGTTTGAAGACAAGTGTAGAGAAATCATGTATTAATGCATCTTATTTTCACTGTAATGAATCTTTGAAATGTATTCCATATTATCGTGTTGGAGATGGAGTAGCCGATTGTTTCTATTTTGAAGATGAAGATTTTAATACATGCCAGTTAAACGATTCAAATCGATTTATTTGCACATCAGATCCAAATAAATGCCTATCACTTGTTGTAGCCGGTAATGGAATGAATGATTGCCCTTCAGGAGAGGATGAAGCATATGTATATACATTTGACCTAGTAAAATTAGTAACATTTCCAGATATCTGTAATGGTTATGATGATAATAAAGATTATTCGGTGAACGCTCTAGAAACCGATGAAACCAATTGTGAATTATGGCCATGCAATAATGCATATACTCATTGTGACGGAGTTTTGCACTGTTTAAATGGTGTTGACGAATTAAATTGTCCTAACAGTCGATGTTCATTGAATGAAGTTGAATGTAAAGCGCCATCGTTGGGAGTCTCATATTGCTTACCGCATGCTCATTTATTTGATAAATATTTGGATAACTGTAATGCTGAAGAAACTTTTCGTGAAATTGTTTTCTATAATGGAACGAAGAACATCAGTAATGATTATTTATCATGGAACAAGAGTAAATGTTTAATTTCAGAACAACTTTGCCGAAGTCCAACTTATTCGTCAATACTAACGGTAGAGCCAGATATATGTCTTCGCGAATACACCAAAATTAATTGGGTTTGTAAATTCTGTGTTCATTTTCTTGAAAATATTAAAGAACCATGCGATCTTGGCACGAGAGGCGACGCTAGATTAAATATTGCTGCATTTTTAACATCCGCACGATTCGGTTATTTCCCACCAATAATGAATAATCGTTCGATACCGATTATTTCCAAACTGAACCCAGAAACTGAAATCATTCCGAAGATTATTCCTACTCTTGTTTCCTATTGTCATCGTGGTATTACTGTATTACATGGTGTTAATGAAACAAAAGTATGTCTTTGTCCATCGAATTATTTTGGGGCTCAATGTCAGTGGCAAAATCAACGTATCAGCTTAACAATTCAATTCATTTGGCGTAATCTTACATCTACTCACGTGATATTTGAAGCAATTATTATGATTATTGATGACAATGAACGTATTGCACCTAATTATGAACAAATCACCTATATGCATTCTCGTGATTGCGATACTAAATTTAATATCTATTTACTTTATCCAAATCGACCAAAGAATCTTACTCATAATTATTCGATTCGTATTGATCTTTTCGAAAAAACGACTTTAAACTATTGGGCAAGTTGGCATTTTCCAATCAAATTTCCATTTTTGCCTGTCAATAGAATCGCTGCTCAACTATTCATACCTGATGCACGACAAAAGGTATCATGTTCTCTTTCGTGTGGAGAACATGGTAAATGTGAGCAATACATTAATCAACGACACTCTGTATTCTTTTGCCGATGTAACCAAGGATATTCGGGTGCAAACTGTGAAAATTTTCATGAATGTAATTGTGCAAAGGATTCATTTTGTCTTTCTTCATCCATCTGTGTATGTCCATTATATAAATTTGGTTCTCATTGTTATTTAAACCATTCGATTTGTCAATTATCACATAATCCTTGTCAACACAATGGCATTTGTGTACCGAATGATGATCGTATAGACTTGAAAGGATTCACATGTATCTGCTCACAAGATTATTCTGGTCCCAGATGTGAAAATATTAATAATCGTATTGACATATATTTAATTGATACAAGAATACAAGAAAGCTCTTTACTATTCGTACATTTTATTACTGCTTTCAAAAATGCTGAACACCAACGTACAACACTTATGAAAAACGTTCCCTATAATCGACAGGGTCTAACACTTTATGTTTCACAACCATTTAATATTCTTCTTTTGCAAATACCAAATGCATCTTATTATTTAGGAATACTACGAGAAACATTCATACCTTCTGAAAATATCCATACTGAAATAAAATCACAGCAACGCTGTTTACCTATTTCGAAGCTTCTTAATAATACAATTATCAATTCTGGATATTTGAATCGAACGAAATATTATCCACTTTTATGTCGACAAAATAGAACAATGATGTGCTTCTATGATAAAGATCTTATTTGCATATGTGATCTCGAACGATTTTCGAATTGTTTCTCATTTAATCATACAATGAATTATGATTGTCAAGGACATAACTATTGTGAAAATGATGGTCAATGCTTTCAAAATAATGAAACATGCCCAACGAAATCAACATGCGTTTGTCAAGATTGTTATTATGGTGCTAAATGTCAATTTTCAACAAAAGGTTTTATTTTTTCTCTTGATCCTATTCTTGGTTATCATATAAAACCAAAGATTTCAATTAATGAGCAACCATTAATTATCAAAATAAGTATTGTTTTCAGTACAATTATATTTATTTTCGGTTGCACCAATGGTCTTCTATCAGTTATAATATTTCGTAGAGAGAAACCAAGAGAAGTGGGTAGTGGTTACTATCTGTTAGTTTCATCGATTACATCAATATGTATGTTTATTATGTTAATAATTAAGTTTTGGCAATTGATACTTTCACAGATGTTTTTGACAACGAATCGGTCATTCCTGAATTTTAGTTGTGTGTCGCTAGATTTTCTTCTCAAAGTTTTTTTAGCATCAAGTGAGTGGCTAAATGCATGTGTGGCTATTGAAAGAATGATGAGTGTCATTGTTGGCACTCGTTTTAATAAACAAAAAAGCAGAAAACTAGCAAAATCAATAGTTTCAAGTGTATTTATTGTTACAATCATTACACAAATTCATGATCCTATTCATCGGCAGTTAATTGATGATATCGATGAAGATGAACGAAGAATTTGGTGTTTAACTAAATATTCATATTCATCTCAAATTTACAATTCATTTATAAATCTCTTTCATTTTCTTGTTCCATTGTCAATTAATCTCGTAACAACGTTGATTATGATTAAGAAAATAGCTCGTCGACGTTTGAATATTTATCCACAACAATCATACCAAGATCATTTTCAACGGCAAATTTATCGTCATCAACATCTGTTGTATGCACCTTGCATGTTAATCTTGTTAAGTTTACCTCGTTTTATTATATCATTCAGTAAGCGATGCATGAAATCAGCGCATGAACCTTGGATTTTTCTTATTGGCTATTTTGTTTCATTTATACCATCAATGATGACATTCGTTGTATTTGTATTACCATCGAAAAACTATAAAAATGAACTTCGTTCTTTCTATGAACAAACGTTTCGACGATTTCGAAGAAATCCATAATCTATTTACCATCATATACAAAAGAGTCTCCTCTTAGCATGATCAAAATGCATCTTCATGTTGTCCATAATCACACTATGTTCATGTAATGTTGCTTGCCGTCTTATGTGCTCAGAATAAATCAAAAGCTAGTTTAAAAAACTTCATTATTTCAAATATAACTCTTAATTATTGATCATTTTGATATAATAATGAATAGAGACGAATGTCTCAAACTTTAACAGAGAATGCATTTCGAAGAATATTCAATTAAAACCATAAAACGTATAACGAATGATAATTTTGCTCAATATTTACTAGAGGAATCTTCTTCCCAGCATAATGTAATATATTTAACCAAATTAAATTCTAATTTTAATTTTTCGTTTTCGAACAGCAAATGCTGTTCTTGGTTGGTTTCTATTCACCTTCAAGATCCAATTCCTACATTTATCGTTGTATTCGAGGTTATTATAAAAAAACTGAATATTGATCTAATGAACTTTGATGAATATAAATATGCATTCAATTTATTTTCTATTCCAAATAATTTTCATTCACCTGAATCATAAATAATACGTTATGAAAACTAAATTTATCTGGGAAATTAGTAAATCTTTTTTTAAAATAGAATATTCTATCGTGTAGAGATCTAAGATACACTTAAATGTTTGGTAATGGAAATTGTCAAGATTCTTTGTTCTTCTTACATTATTCAATGCATTTCTATCATCATACTTCCATAACCATCTGTAAATATTTTCAATAGAACAATGTTAATTTATCTTTTTTTTAACAGAAAACGCATCTTCTCAATGTTAACACAAACAATGAAGAACAAACGCCAAACGATTATCATGATGATTCTGGCGAATGTTTTGCTATCAGTTCAGACTATGCTGATGACATATATACTTCTACTTTTTATTTTGTGTAATTCAATCAACAATGATTATTCATTACGTCATTATGACTATTGTCTCACTGAGAAAGAATATAGGATTGTTGAAATAAATACTGTTGTCTATAATGTATCAATAGTGATGAAATATCTCACAATCTCATGAAAAGCATAGATTATGCATTCTAATTTATTGTTGATTTTTCGAAAAAACATTCGCGCATTAGAATAGTATTTTATAAATCATCCTTTTCCTTTTGTTCGAGATAGTTGGCAAACAATCTTTGAATAGACTTGACGATGAAAAAGAGAATTCAACGCTTTTCAATAATGTAGTATGAATATGATGAATTCATTCTGCTACAAATAGATGTATTGATAGAATGATAATCATCTGTAACTTATATTTTTGAATATTTTTCAAGTTCAGTAAAAAATGTAGTAATCGTACTCAACGATCTAATTAGATTTTCCATCCAAACGGATTGCAATTGTCAAAGTGACTCGAATAGAATATGATTTATTTAGAGAGAACATCGATATGGCACTGTTAATGCTGATTTTTTACTCTAAAATATCCAAGCTAGTAAAAATATGATATAACAGCCACCACAATAGCAGGAGCTAATATCATAACAGCACGAAAAATCCATAACCATGCTGCATGATACTCGGTGCTATATGACGTTGCCATTAGTGTTGTTAAAATTAATGAACACAACAGCATCAGCACACTAACTGCAAGAAAAGATAAGATTGAATACTTTATTCGTGTTAGTTCTAAAGTAAGTAAATTACAGTAGTTAAAGGATATATACACGTATATATATGTGTTTGTGCAAAGTAAAGCTAAAGTGTTAACAAGCCAACAAGAAATTTCTTTTTGAGAAAGCGTGAGAATGATTATCAAAGCATAAAAATAGTTACTAGATCATTCAATTTTCTATTTGTTCTTTTTAAAATCCTGTCTTTTCATAATTTCTTTTTTTTTTGAGTAGTTGCAATGTAATCTTACGTGGTTTTTTTATGATAACACAGGCGATGTTCGTCTAAGTCTTCCCTTCCCTTCTTCTTTCTATGAAACTACATAATACGTAACACTCCACTTATGATAAATAAAGCAATATACTACTATTATCAAAGCATAGAAAAAAATCTGTAGTGAGATACGCTTGTTTAGATAATGTGAATGATCTTTTCCATCTGTTATACTACTCAATCAGCTTCTTCCATTGTTTTTTTTATTAGTTTCATTTTAGGGATTCTATCATTTTTCTCGAGTCGTTTTTCACGATCCATGCTCAAGTGATGCGCATATAGGAATGTTAGATGCAGAAAAATTTTCCAAACTGATTTCATCGCTAAATTAATATGGATTTTTCAATATGCAGAATCCTTCCACATTAGCGTGTTGCATATCATAACATATCTATTTTGGCGGTATTTTAACGGAATGACCTAAGAACCCACACTGGTAGTAAAGTAGATTTCTGATCTACTTCTGAAACATAAATACCATAAACAAAGCCTATTAGTATTACTTTTCACTTCGATTAAGGTTAAAAGAGGAGCTTTTTTAAATAATATTTAAATGTTTTGCATTAAGATGCTCGAAAAGCTATTCTTAGTTTTGAAACCTCAAAATTATCTACTACTATTTTATGCACAATCTTTCAAAAGACAAACAATTGATGTATCATGATAAATAAATTATTTTCTAAACTATCCAGTCTGAGCGAGTGTTTATATCACTATGGTAATTTTGTATGCTGATTGGTACTTAAAAATTGATGTATACTCATGTGAATAGTCATCAGATCAACATTCATACAAAAAAACCACGAAACTCTTGAAGATACTTTTTCATAACAGGATATCAAATTTCAAAGCTTCACATTAATTTTTTAAATCATTTTTGAAGCAAACTGCTGAAATTTTAACTTGAATAATTCCTTGGTAACTCTGTCTTTATAAGCATTCTTTTTTTCAGGAAACAATATTGCTTCATATAAAATAGCTTTCTCTGTTCTTCTATAGTACCATTGTATCATGCTATCCCATGTTGCGAATACCGGATCAATTTTTGCGGCAAACTGCGGTATTTATCCGTTCTGCGGTAATGGGAGCCGGTAACCGGACCGGTAAAACCGCGGTAAACCGGCGGTTTTTTGCGCATGTTTATCACATGTAAAAGTAAAAAAAGGATCTTTAAAATAGTTTAATTGATGATTTGGAAGACTTTTTCTGTCAAAAATTATAGATGAACCGGTTAACCGCGTTTTTTAGCGGTTCTGTGGTAATGAGAGCCGGTAACCGGACCGGTAAAACCGCGGTTAACCGCCGATTTTCATGCGGTTTTTATTACATGGGATTGATGTTGTACTTGTTTCTTCTAGGATAACTTATCTTGCATAGAAAGAGAAGCTTATCAAAGGAAAACGATTGAACGGTGAAATTCATATTTTGTGCGTTTTTAATCATATCGAAGAACAATCAATATTGCAATAAAAATCACAATACTAGTTCTAATAATAATAATAAGAAAAAAAGTATCCCATGCATTATCTAAGGGTGTGTGTGTTAGTCATACTAAGAGAAACACGCCTACACCGACACTCACACCCACACTCTCAAGAAGCATAACAAGTGAAAGTATCAAGAAAAATAAATGCAAAAAAACAAATGTACAGCAGAGAGAAGAAAAGCACAAAATGAATATTTTGACATCAGAATTAGCTTCCCAGGTTGATCAAAGCGAACTCGTTTGCGGTCTGTTTGTCGACGGTAAACGATGTCAAGACGATATCTTTACGGCAATAAATAGGCCGTATTTGCCCGTAATACCTGGCGCCGAAATACGACACCGTAAACCGGACTGAATTTTCATGGTTTACGGCTCTTTGTGCTCCGTACTCTCATGATAATACGGTCCGTATTACTGCGCCAGATATTACGGCAAAATTTCGCCCGTAAAATAGTCGTAAAGTAACCGTCAATGACCGTATACGGAACGTACTGTTCGACCTGGGTTTTTTACATTATTCGAGCTTTGTGTGGTTTGTTCGAAATCCCAGTAAACTTTGGAATATCTGTACCATTACCGATAACCCTAAATTAAAATCCTTTTATTATTATAAAAATCGAAATTGAAACAATTAGTTGACAATGATTAGTCTAAATAGTTACTATCTTAATTCATTTCTCCAAAGTTTCAACAGGCAGTTCACTAATCGAAATTTTATTTTGCGATAGCAATCAATCGAGGATCACAGGTATGTGTATCTTATTATTTTGCGTTTTGTTCATTTTATTTGTTTATAATACTACATTTTTAACCGTAAAAGGAACAGTAAACTTTTATGAAAACAAAATCTCTTTCGAATTCTTATATTTATGTTACGTAACTACAGGTTTTGCTGTTGACGTGATGAACTCGACTTATAGCAACAAAATATATTCTAATATCAGTTGAATTTAAGCTTGATACATTACAATCTACAAAATAAGAGTCCTCTTTTTTTTTAGCTCACTTTAGGGAACCACAGAACACCTACAAGTCTCCATTACCTTGTATGGTGCCAAAAGGTGAACAGAATTATTAGTGAAAAGCGTCAAACTTAATTCATGAAATCAAAATTATCAAACCAAAGCAATTAGCAAATGTTTTATTTGTTGTTTATACTCTTTTGTCGTTCATTGTTGGCACCTAAATATTTGAATTATTGTACAAAAACTTCTGAGCTTTCCATTATACTTCGAATTTCAGCCGTATATCTCTACAAATCTTCTCTGACTGAGGTTAAAACTATACTACTACCTAGCAATGAGAAATTTTACGATGAAATACTAAATCAATATGTCTTATTATGTATATGCATTTAGACAATGTGAATGTAAGAAGATATCAAACAACTTCTCATATCTTAATACATCATGCGCAAAAAAACGAATGAGGCTAACTTTCAACACATATTTTGTATGTTTGCAAGCAATGTCAAACATCTTTGTTACTTAATCTCTTGCTAAGAACTACGAATAGAAAAACTGAGTTCTTTACCATGAATGTATTACAATGGTTACATTCGCTGATGTCACTCTACATTCAAATAAGCATAATTTT